AGAAGATGAATCCCAGAGAGGAGAAGGGGTGGGAGTCAGGGAGGAGAGCCAGGGTGGGGATTTGGGGATGATCTCATCAAAGGAAAGGGATTACACAGGTAAAGGGAGGGGGGTACAATCTGGGGTAAACAATTTGGGAAAAAATATGAGGATACAAAACCAAAACTATTACTAAGTTTAAAAACACACTACACCATCTGCCACGGGCCATGGGGGACCTCAGGGTCCCTGCCTGCCCGGGAGCAGGGCTGGTCAGAGAGGGCACTGATGGTCCTGGATGAGCCAGGGAAGGGCTGGGGAGGCTCTGCCCTCTCATCCCTCTGGCTGTGTCTCTTAGATGTTCTTTGAGGACCGGCGGAGCGGCCGCCCCCGCTCCATAGCCTGGGTACCTGACTGGGACCGGCTGAGCCACGCTGGAGCCAGGCAAGTGCTGCACTGGGGAGTGCTGGTGATCCCCCCTCACCCCCTCAGCCCTCCCTGCTGAGCCTGCCTCACTCTGGCCCAGCTGCTTTTCTTCCACCTTCCCTTTATGCCAAGTGCAGCTCAGGGCTCTGTCCTGCCAGGTCACCACCAGGTGGCCCATCCCTATGGGGGACATGGAGGAGAGACACCCCATGTGCTCACCTGGGCCCTGCTGTCACCTGAGCCATCCATTCCTGTCCCCCACACCTGCCCTGCTGAGCTCTGCTGTGGCTGGTGCTGATGCCCGAGTGCAGCCGCTCCCAGTGATGCTCCAGCTGCTCCATGGCACAGCCCTGCTCCTCCTTCCCCTGCTGTCCCTCACTGTTCCCAGTCACCCCACAGCACGGAGGCACCCCCGACCCCAAAGGCTGCTCGCCGGCCCTCTGAGAGCGAGGAGCGCAGGGAGAGCCGCGCCAGCGCCATCTTCGGGTCCCGGCGGCAGGACGCACGCCAGTCCATCTCGGAGCTGCCAGAGCCCAAGGTGATGCTCAGCACAGCCCTGGGGCCACCCTGGGGCTCTGCTTGCACCCCCCTGGGTGTCCTGCTGCACCCAGAGCTCCTGGCCCTGCCTGCAGCACCGGCCCCCAGCCTGGATGGGAGCCCTGGAGGGGCTGGTGGCAGCCCCTGCTGCAGGGAGGGCAGGAGGGGAGAGTCAGGGACTGCCTTCCAGCCTGGCCCTCCGAGGTGCTGAGCCTTCTTTCTGTGCCCCAGGACGAGAAGTGGAGACTCTCCTGCACCGTGAGCGACAGCAGCCAGAGCATTGACAGGAAACAGCCCCCGGGAAGCCAAGCTGCTGCTGGTGCTCAGCCCAGCACTGCAGGTACAACCTGCCAGGCCACCTTCCTGAGCGTCCCTGCAGCCCCACGAACGGGGCTGTGCCCTCCCACACCACCCCAACACCATCCTGAGCGTCCCTGCAGCCCCACACCACCCCAACACCCTGCTGAGAATCCCTGGAGCCCCACGAGCAGGGCTGTGCCCTCCCACACCACCCCAACACAGGTCCCCTCGTGGTGGCACAGAGTGGGAGCACAGGCACATCCCTTGTTGAACACTCCCCGTGGGGCTGCAGCCATTGATCCTGGGCCTTGTGCCACCGGGTCTTGGTGCCAAGAGCTGTTCCTGGTGGGAGCCAGGCCCCTGCTCCTGGCTGGGCTCACATCCCATGGCACCTCTGTCCCCTCTGCCCAGCAGTGCCACACTGCCATAGTGTTGGGGCAGAAGTGCTGGCCCTGACAGCTCTGGGGACTTACAGCCCTGGGGACACTGAGGAGCCCTGTGCCCCCCCAGGCTGGCTGAGCCTCCATCTCTCCTCTCCTGCCTGCACAGGCTCGTCCCTGTCTCCCACGGGCTTTGGTGGCCGGGTGAAAAGTGCCAGCAAGCTGCCACCGCTGCCCCGCAAGTTCAGCCCCTCAGTGTACGAGACCTTCCTGGAGCAGAGCGATGCTGCAGCAGCAGGGAAGGTACTGGGGGACAGCAACTGCAGGGGAGGCACTCGGGGCTCCTGGCCCTGGTCCCACCACCCTTCATGTCCCTCTCTGCTCACAGGTGTCCCCGACAGTGGATGGGAGCAGAAGCCTCAAGTCACCGCCGCTGCCGCCACCCAAGACCAAGCGTCTGTCACAGCTCTGACCCGATGCCACCACCTGCAGCTGCGCTGTCTGCAGGGGCCACCCCTGCCCAGAGTGTCCCTGTGCCCAGCCAGCTGCTGGAGCCACAGCCCTGCTTGATTCTCACCTGCTGGAGCAGCTCTTGCAGCTGTGACACCCAGGGCAGATTCCCTGTGTGCACCAGGCACTGCCATCCTGTGTCCCACCAGCTGTGGACACCTCCACGTGTCCTCTGGGGCTGGGACACCTGGCCCTGGGTGCTTGCTATGCCTCTGGAGCCACGCTGAGCTCCCACACACGCAGCCCCTCCCAGCCCATGAGGATGCTCCTCCCTCCTTCCCTCCCTCCACCCGAGCTGCCCACGGACTGTGCCAGTGGCAGGAGCAGTGACTTCCCCAGTGGCATTTCTGTGTGATTCCTGCTCCCCACTCGTGGGACAGCTCCCACCCCATCCTGCAGCACACATTCCTGGCCCACACTGCACATTCCTGGCCCACTGTGTGCACACAGGCCCTGGCAGCCTCGCTCCGCAGTGTCACCTCTCCTGCCCACCCCTGTCACCTGCACCAGGCAGGTGTCACTGCCCTGACTGGCTGTGCCATGCTCAGCTCCCACCTCTGCACTGCAGCCACGGATAATAAAGGGCAAACACATCAGCCAGGCACCTGTGGGAGCCCCAGCACCCAGCCCTACTTGCCCACAGCCCAGCCAGGGGCTCACCCCCAGCTGGCAGCACCCCAAAGCACAGGGACTCACCCTCCTGAGGCAGGGGAGGGCCCCATGGTCACTTCCCAAGCCAGACACAGGGAGGGGACTCGCTGCTCAACCCCTGAACTGGCACAGGGCTTTTTATTGAGGTGGGCTCAGTATTTACAGTCTGTTTCAGGGGGACCTGGAGCTGTAACCAGGGGCTGGGGAGGGCAGGGGCTGCCTGCAGCTGGAGCTGCCATCAGCGGGTTCCGTTCTACGGGGACAGTGGGATCAGCTCCCAGGGCAGGGCTGAGGGACAGACAGACAGAGGGGCCTGGGAGCGGTCAGGCTGTGCTGGTGCCAGGCTCTCCCTGCATTCCCAGCAGAGCAGAAGGTGCTGCCTGCCCAGTTCCTCACAGAGGGTTGGCTGAGGAGGCTGCCAGGCGCTTCCCAATGTAGATCCTGGATTGGAGAGAGTGACTGTGAGGCACTAGAACGGGGTGCTGGGCCCCAGCAGGCCAGGAGGAGGGGAGATGGCAGCAGACCATGGGAGCAGTGATGCATGAGAGCACCCAAGGATGAGCAGCCCAAATTCAGGAGTGTTCCCTCCTCCCCCAGCCCCATGGTGAGAGCCACAGACACTCACCCCAGCCCCAGGGTCAGGAGGTGGCTGAGCAGGAGCGAGGGGATGAAGAGCAGCAGCAGCTCTGAACTGAAAAGTCTCTTCTTCCTCCCCACTGCACCTCCCTGCAGGCTCCACAGCACTGGCTGGGGGGAGCACACAAAGGCAAATTCCCTGGGAAAAGCTCATGGTTAACAGGGACAGCAGGATGGGGGGCAGCAGCAGGATGTGCTGGTGGGGGACACAGGACTTACTCTGCAGACAGGTACCGAGGGCAGCGGGCACAGGCCCAGCCCAGGGACGCTCTCAGGCGTCGCTGCCTCCACTTGGCTTCCTGTGGCACATCCCGCTGGAAGGAGACACAGGGCAGGTCAGAGCAGGGCCTGGGGCACAGCAGGGTGTGCCAGGGGCAGCTCCCTCACCTGCCAGGGATGGGGGCAGCTGGGCTGGGGCTGGCTGTGGGCAGGCAGTGCCTCACTCTCCGCTGGTTGATCACTGCCATGGCTGGCTCTGTCCTCATCCCAGGCTGGGGAGCCCAGCACAAGCAGGGCCCTGCAAAGAGAAACCCTCAGTCACTGAGCTCAGCCTCAGCCCCAGCACCAGGCACAGCTCAGCAGGGCTCTGGAGCCCAGCTCCCCCTCAGGACTCACCCCTCACTGCTCTCTGTCTCCAGCTGGGCCTCCAGCAGCATCCGCTCCACGTCGGCGTGGCAAGAGAAGGGCGAGGGCGCCGCCTCGGGCTCCGGGCAGCCTGGGCCACAGCGCAGCTCCACCCAGGAGCCTGGGGGGGCTGTCAGCCCCTGCGCTGCTCCAGGACCACCCCTGCACCCCAGCCCATCCCATCCCGGCCGGGCACCCTACCCGGCACACCCCAGACCCCAGACCCGGGATGTCCCAGGGCTGCTCTCCCGGGACCCGCATCTGCCCCCGCCCCCGCGGTGCTCATCAGCCCCGTGGTGCCCCCACCGACCCAGCCCCCCCCGGGGTCCCCGGCGCACCTCAGCCCCCCAAGAAACCCCACCTGGAGCCGCCCCCATCCACAGCGCACATCAACCACCCGGGACTCCCGGTGCCCCAGACCCCCACGTGTGCACGTCAACCCCTCCACCCCCGGGCTCCGCACTGTCCCGAACCCCCGGTTCCCCGGGTGTCCCATTGTCCCAAACCCCTCGGTGCCCCTTCACCGCCGGTTCCCCGTCCCGCCCGGGTGTCCCGTGGCCCCGATCCCGCCCCGGTGCCCCGGTTCCCCCCGGACCGTCGTCGCCGGCTCCCGCCATGGCCCCGCGGCTGCTCCGCGCGCAGCCCCCGCCGCTGACAGTCACGTGACGCCCGCGAGCCCCCATGTAAATAAAACCACCGGCACCGGCAGCCGGTCTCTTAAAGGGGCTCTGCCTCCTCCCACTGGGGCCCGCGAGCCGCAGCTCGCCCGGCAGCGACGGCCCCGCCGCGTTGCCTCTTTAAGCGGCGCCTACGTGCAGCGCGCGACCAGGCGTCGGCTGCGGCGCGTGCAGACCCGCACGGAGCCGGCCCGGCCCCGCCCCCTGTCCCATTGACCACGCCCCCTTTCCCGCTGGCCCCGCCCCTCGCCCCGGTGCCCGCACAGCCCAAGCCGCGCCGGACGCTGCCGCCGTTTATTTCCGCCGCCAGGGGGCGCCCCCGCCCAGCCCGTCTCGGCCCGTCCCGCCCGCGCGGGGCCCGCGCGCTCCCGGTGCCACCGGCCCGGCCCGGCGCTCCGGTCAGGGGTTGCCACCGGCCCGGCCCGGCGCTCCGGTCAGGGGTTGCCACCGGCCCGGTCCGGCCCGGTCAGGGGCTGCCGCCGGCCCTTGCCGCGCCGTGCTTCTCAGCGAACCGCCTGCGGGAGAGAGCGCCCGCCCTCAGACACCGCGGGGCTGGGAGCACGGGAGGGGCCTCCCGCGAACCCACCCGGGGATCCCGGCCAGGAAGCAGCCCCGGGGACACTGCGGGGACACTGCAGCAGCCCAGGGCCGGGCTGGCTCTGCTCGGACCGGTTCATCCCAAGCGCAGATGGAGCCCAGGGGAACGGGTGAAGGAGCAGGAGCTGCTTGGGGAGGGGCACGGGAGGTCCTGTCCCTGCTGGGGACAATCCCGGTGGATGGTGAGGGCAGGGAGGGGCTGCCAGGGCTGCCCACAGCAGCTCATGGTCCCAGTCAGGGATTCCCAACAGGACAGTTCCCTCAGCACCACCCCAGCCATCCAGTGCCCAATGAGCCCTGGCACACTCAGCTTTCCCTCAAACACATCCTCAGTTTTCTGTGTCTTCCTAAAGCCCGGCCTCTTGTGCCAGGATTTGCCTCATGAAAAGCCTGCTCAGAAATCAAATCACTCCCTGTGCCCTCACACCAAGGAGCACGAAGGGAGCTGTCCCTGGTGCCAAACAGGAACGTCCTGCCCACAATGAGGGTGCCACGGTGGCACCTTGGGTATTGCTGGGGGCTTGGGCAGGGGTGGATTTTGTGTGGCCCTGGCACGGGGAGGTGTGGAGGGCTCTCACCTCCTGGCATAGTCGTACAAGGCTCGTTTCCTCTCCTGCAGGGACAGGTGACGCTCCACGGGGGACTTTGCAAACTGCTTTGGAGCCGGCTGGAAGGGAAAGCACAGGAGCCATCAGGACACAGATGAAGCCTCCTTGGTGGCTCTGCAAGGACCTGGCTCGTGCTCCATGCCCCTGCCTAGTCCTGAACACGAGCCAGGGAGACACAACCCCAAAGTACCTTAGAAGAAGGCGCAGGCACAGAGCCCTGGATGCCAGAAGCAGCTGCAGCCTGGGAGGTAGATGGGGCAGGCAGGTCTCCAGGCTCTTTATTCTCAGGGAAGAAGTGAACTCTCCCCTCCAGCAAGTTGGCAATGGTGGTGTCCACACAGTTGGTTTGGACTGTGGGGACAAAGGGAACCATTAGAGATCAGGACACTCCATCCTGGCTGCCACTGTGTACCGGTGCAGCGGGGACAAGGTTTCCTCTTTCAGAGCACACAATGTGCCCCCACATCCCTGCTGGCAGCCCTGCTCACCCAGGTCTGTCCTGATGACCTCCAAGGGCACGTGAGGCAGCACCTCCTTGACCTGCTGTGCCATGGCCACCACCCTCACGTCCTCAGGAGCACCCCTGGGCAGGCTGGGGGGCACCCTGGGCCGGGCTGCCGGGCGCTGGCTCGAGGCTGCAGAGGAAAGGACAGTGGGCACAGGGTGAGTTTGTCACTGAAAGCACACACAGAGACCCCCCCAGAGCAGAGCCCAGGCTGAGGTTCCACAGCCAGGATCCCCACCTGGGGCAAAGGGCAGCCTTTGTGCCGTGTGCCTCAGCCTCTTCATGTGCTCGGTCCTGTCGGCAGCGGTGATCCGTGTGGATACCACACCCAGCTCCATGGCCAAGAGCTGTGAACACAGAGCAAATCACACAAAAATCACACAGCACAAACAGCCCAGGCAGCCCCTCCAGGCTGGGGAGCGTGCCAGGGCCACATGGAGCCATGCTGAGGGCAAGAGGGCTGGGAGCTGATTTCTCCAGGGCCTCGAGGGTGCATTGCAGTGTGGCAGAGGGCACAAAAAGTATCAGGAATTGCAATATCATCCTGCCAAAACAGGCTGACAAAGAGGTATGAGATGTCTGGAGCTGTCAAATACCCAGCATATACAGGCAGGGTGAAGAAACAACCACTTTGTATGATTTGTGGTGTTATAAAAAGGGGTGAAAGGTTTGAACTTGACGGGAAAAGCCCTGACAGCTGCAGAAAGGTTCAATGTGGGGTGGCAAACAGGCCATGAAATCACTGAGGTCTTGCAAGGGGCAATAAACATGTTCTGTTGGAGTCCTGGATGCTGAGAATTTCAGACTTTCTGTGCTGACAGACTCTAGCCCTCAAGAGAACAGTGCACTTGACCTGAGGCCACAGAGAAAGCTTCTAAAATTAAATATAGAACTAAGATTATGAGTGTGTAGTTTGATTAGAAGTTTGTAATATCACATAGTAAAAAACTTAAAGTATTAGAATATAATAATATATATAACAAAATAAAAGTTTTAAAACAAAAACTAGTCCTTTATAAGTTTAAGTAGTATTTTATAATTAAACAAAAAAAGTCCACATTACAAAACACAAGTAATTATTAAGTTAAAAATAAAAATAATTTAAGTATAATTTCTTAATTAAATAATTTTTAGTTTAAAAACTTATAAATACATAACCATTTTATAACTTATTAATAAAATATTAGAAAACTCACTACTTATAAAAGTATAACATAAATGAAAAGAAATAAACATCTAAGTCTAAACACAAAATACCATCTACAGCTCCCTCAGCACCCTCCATGCACCCCCAAAACTTCTGGGGGAAACCCCACAACCAGCCCTGCTCCCTTATCCAAAAGGCCAGAGAAGGAAGCAGCTGCTGGGGTCTGCCCAAAATCCCCACTGAAACAACTCCTGCTGCTCCTCACCCCGTTCCACTTTTTCATGCAGAGCCCAAGAGTGACAGTGAGTCACAGAAACACCTCAAGATTAACACCCTGAGGTAATAAATCAGATCTACACCCTGAGTTAATAAATCAGATCTGGAGATGAAACTTTCCAGGATCTGAAAGAGCCTCGAGGGAACACTTTTAATCCCAACCTTAACCAAAAGAAAAAAACCCCGAAAACCAACAATGTACCAGAGCTCCCATCACACACACACACCCAGAAATGCCCCCTGCACCCTGTGCCCACCCCAAAGTGCAGCAATGCCACAGATCCCTGTCCCAGCCCACCTTCCTACCTCCTGAACTCGGAGCGCAAAGTCCTCACTCCGCTCGTCCGCTCGTCTGGGGACAGACGGCATCCACCTGTGAGGGGACAGACAGACAGCACGTGGAGCCACCCTGCTGGGAGCAGCCCCTGGGGACACCCTGCCATGCCATCCCCACCTCCAGGCTCCCTGCTCAGCCCACAGCTTTGCCCAGAGCAGCAGCAAAGCCCAACAGCCACTCCCAAATGCAGGATGTGGTAGAAGACAGAAGTGGCTCACTGGCCTTAATGAGAGAAAGGCCTTAATGAGAGAAAGGCCTTAATGAGAGAAAGGCCTTAATGAGGATCTGGGGTCATTTACATGGAAGGAGGAAACAGGTCACCCAGAATTCAGGCAGCTGGAACCAGGGAAAGGCTTTCCTTTGCTGAAATACACCAAGCCCTACATTTGATACCCAGTTCTTTCCACTGCCCTCATTACAGCAAAGCTACTCAGGGCCTGGCCAGGGCTCTGGACCATCCCACTCCCAAGGGATTGTAGGGACAGACAGACACTGGGGGCTGAGCAGCTTCAAAAATACCCCTGGAAACTTGAACTAAACACCTGGAGAGACTGAGACTCCTCTCCTTCCCCAAGAGGAACCAGGAGCCTTCTCCACATCTGGAGCTGGACACAGCCAGGCTTGGAGATGGTGCCAAGCCCAGCCCTGCTGAGGCACCCAGGGAGGGAGATCTCAGTGCCAGCCCTGCCCACCCCCAACCCTGCCCCAAACAGAAGAGAGGGAGACGTAGTACCTTACTTGATAAACTGTGAAGGGAACAAAGAAGGTCCAGAGCAGCTCCGTGATCCAGGAGGAGTCAGCCACGCTCTGGGGAAGAGAGCACAGTGAGATCCCAGCCATGGGACAGGGGAGGTGGGCACAGCACACCTGGCTGGAGGACTGGGAAAGGAGAAACAGCAAATCCAGTGCAAGCCCCAGGGCAGCTTCACCCTCATTGTCATCACCAGTTTTCATTTTCCTCCCACTAAGACAGCAGCAAGATTTTCCCTCAGTATCCCCCCATTCGCTACTAGTCTGTCCCTTCAAAAAGCTACAAAAATGTCAGAAAAACTACAAATGCTTCCTCAGAACCATGAACAACCCTCCCTCATTCTGGTGGCAACAGCTTCTCTGTGATGTCCCAACTGCTGTAAGCTCTCCAGGAAACAGCACAAGAGCAAACAGCACAAGAGCTTGGATATTGGGAAGATTCCTCCTTGAAAGGGCTGCCCAGCCCTGGCACAGCTGCCCAGGGCAGGGGGAAGTCCCCATCTCTGGGGGATTTAACGGCCCTGTGGATGGGGGGGACATGGTCAGTGGTGGCCTTGGCATTGTTGTGGAATGGCTTGACTTGGTTTTCCAAACAATTCTGTGATTCTCAGACAGGCTTGTGCCTGGGAAGAGCAGCTGTAAATGAGAAAAGCCCTGAAAGCTCAGGTACAAGATGAACAGAGAAGCCTCACCTGGATAAACAGAACCTCAGAACCCTAAACCCAAATGCCTGGAGTGATGCCCACAGACAGATTTCAGTTACACTGCCTGTGCCACAGAACAACACCCTCCTGAAACATTCCATGCAACTGGAGCTGCAGAAAATTCTCTCTTAATTCCAAATTTGGTGTTTGGCCCAACCCAGTGCCTAATATACATTACACACTTATATAAGAAAACTTTCTATAAAACACCAACTGATCTATTCAAAATGTAACATCTCCAATCCTTCCTTCCAGTTTCTGATGGCTTAAAATCACCCCAGAAATCCCACCAGGATTTACTCTGCCAATGTGCAGGAAGCACAAAGTCCTGCTCAGACTCTGAAGGTAAAATTTGAGCCAAGAATTGACTGTAACCAGCACCTCCACACAGACCTGCTGTGCTCCCTGCCATGCAGGAGGGAAGGGATGCACACACAGACACACAGCTTGGCACATCTCAGAATTTCTCAAAGGAATCAAACCCATAAAAGCATAAGATATTCCTTATAAACTGTCCAGAACAGGAAAACTCTCCCAGTTCTTTGGAGGAGTAATTTAAAATGTAACTTATTGCCAGAAAACTGCATCTTCACCCACCTTGTGGCTTGCCTCAACTCTGTCTCAGCACCCCTGGCCTGCCAGGGGTGACCAAAGCTCAGCCAAATATTCCTGCAGTTCCCATCCCTGCACACATCCAGGTGATTCCTCACCCTGCCAGGGGTTCCTTTGCCACAGAAACACCAGACCCATGACTGGCAGCTCTCTGTAGTCACCAAATCATAAATAATAAATATCAAAAATAAGCAATTCAACAAAGCCTCGCTGAGAGCAGTTTCCCTGCAATGCCTTTGGCTGTGCTGCCATTGCCCTCATGGACTTTATCCCTCGTGTGGGGCAGCTCCTGCTCCACGTCCTGAGTCTGTGCCAGGGGCTCCAGCTCAGGAGCCTCCAGAGCCCTGATGGCCTTTGGCACAAGGGCTGCCTGCAGCTGGTCTTTCACAGCAGGGAACTCAGCAAGAGCAAAGCAGACTGGCCATGGAAGGCAGAGGCACAGTGACAGCCAGCGGGGCCACCAAACATCTGTCACACTGGCCAGTGTAAGCAGGGCTCCTCAGAAAGGCACTGGGAACTGTGTTAGCCCTGAGCAGCTGGCTCCAGGCTGCCAGAACACGAGGCCAGCTCACACCACAGGCTCCAAAGCAGAAAGGAAAGCTGTTCCCACCCCACACCCTGTCCCTGTCCCCACCACTCACCACAGCCACCAACGGCCTCCGGACCTGCAGGGCAACGGGCTGGACCTCATCCAGGATGGAGAAGGGCCAGGAGCTGGAAGGGAGGAATTCTGCAGTGAGTGACCCAGGAGCCACCTGAAGCCATTTTGTCACCATACAGCAGAGCCATTCCCAGCCACCCTATTGAATTTGCAGGGGCAGAGAGAATGATGCATCTGACTCCATCTTATCAGAAGGCTAAGTAATTACTTTATGGTACTATATTATTCTATACTATATTACACTATATCTAAACTGAATCTGCTAATCACTCAACCCTGCACACAACTACACTGAATTTTGTGACTGTCAGGGAACAGTCCCAACACACACACACACACACACTTGGCCCTGATAAGCCAAGGCAACAAAACATCATCACTTTGAGTGAACAATCTCCATATTGCATTCTGCTTTTGCACAAACACAGGCACAGCAAATGATAAGAACATTCTTGTGAAGAACTGTGCCTTGCTTTTCTCAGTGAAATGTTCACCCTGCTGCAGGCATTCCCATTTCCCTGCTGGGGGAAGTCACCTGAAGCGGAGCAGCCCGGCCCTGCCGTTGGTGGCAGCCTCCTCTGGGAACAGCAGCAGGGGGGGGTTCCCTTGCTGGGCCGAGTATTCCTTGAGGGAATCCACCAGCTCCGCCCGGCTGCCCGTCACTCCCAGCTCCATGAAGCCCCGGGACCAGCAGATGAACCCTGGGGCACCGCTCAGGGCAGGCTGCAGGGAGAACAGCAATGAGGAGGAAACCCCGCCCTGCCCGCCCTTCCACGCCCTCCCAGGTGACACAGGTGACAAAGCTGCTGCTCATTAGCAAAATCCCCTCTGGGACTGAGAGTGAGCTGTGTTGACAGTGGCTGAGATGTAACTGCCCCTGCTCCAGCCCCAGTTGCACAGGAAATGGATTCCAAATCATCAGTTCAGACTGTGCCCTGCCTGCCAGTGCCACATGCACTCCCAGCTGCCTGTGTCCCCAGTGCTCTCTGCAGCAGTCCCTGACACACTTGGCAGGACACACTCTGCTCCCAGCAGTCCCCCCTGTCCAGGCCAGGGGTAAATCAATGGCTGGGCAGGACACAGGAGCCACCCAGAGCCTGCTGACTCAGGAACTCCACACACAAAGGATTTTACAGAAGAGCAGGGACAGCCCAGAACTACCCAAGCACCACTGACACACACAGCTCCCTCCATGCACCCCCAAAACTGCCCACCCAGTGCTGGGGGAAACCCCACAACCAGCCCTGCTCCCTTATCCAGAAGGCCAGAGAAGGAAGCAGCTGCTGGGGTCTGCCCAAAATCCCCATTGGAACAACTCCTGCTGCTCCTCACCCTGTTCCACTTTTTCATGCAGAGCCCAAGAGTGACAGTGAGTCACAGAAACACCTCAAGATTAACACCCTGAGGTAATAAATCAGATCTGGAGATGAAACTTGGCAGGATCTGAAAGAGCCTAGAGGAAAGCTGGAGAGGGAATCTGTGCCAGAAACTGGAGCAACAGGACAAGGATTAATGAGTACAACTGAAAGAGGAGCAATTTAGGCTGGATATTAGGAAATTTATGAGTGTCAAGAGTGGGGAGGTTGTCCAGAGAAGCTGTGGCTGCCCCTGAAACCCCTGGAAGTGTCCAAGGCCAGGCTGGACAGGACTTGAAGCCACTTGGGCTGGTAGAAGGTGACCCTGCCCGTGGCAAAGGGTGGCACTGAGCGGGCTTTAAGCTGCCTTCCACTGAGATCACTGCAGCACCAAATGGGGCCGAGCTGCCCGTGCCCCGCCCTCGGGGAGGAGCCCGGCCGTACCCTCACCGTGTTGCAGGAGGTGAGCAGGCTGACGACGTTGTGGTCGAAGGGGGTGACATGGTTGGCAATGAAGACCCTGGCGCCGGCCCCGCGCAGCCGAGGGTCGCTCTGACGCACCAGCAGCCCCAGCACGGAGCACATCACACGGACAATGAACCTGCCAGGGGAACACGGATCTTCCTCGAGTCCTGCCCTCCAAAACACTGCTAGGTGACATGTCCAACAGGCAACGACCCAAGAATTCGGGCAGCTGGACAAACGACACTGGTACCAAATGGAAATGACACGTCTGGTACAGGAATTGGTGCGGGGCTGGGACTGGGAGGAGGGCAGCATGTGCCCACAGAACTCCTGAGCAGCACAGCAAGCTGATCCACACCAGTCCCTGAGCACTCCAGAGGTGGCTGCCAGCTCCAGGCTTGGCAGAGGAAGCACCTCCAAGGCTCCTGAGCACACAGATCCTTCCCTGAGCCGAGCCCCCCGGGGCGGCCCTGCCATCACCCCACACCCACCCGGGACAGCAGCAGCAGCACCCCGGAGCCCCCCGAGGTCACCCACCGGCGCACGACGCTGTCGGGCAGGGCGCAGCTGACCAGGAACACGTGGACGCCGATGAAGACGCGCAGGACGAGCAGGCAGAGCCCCACGGGGGCGTAGAGCAGCAGGGCCAGGAGCAGGAACCCATCGGTCGGGAGCCTGCAGGGGCAGAGAGCGGCCAGGGCGGCCTCAGCGCGGCCGGGACGATCCCCAGGACCCGCCCTGCGGCCGCCGCTCCGCGTGCTCCCCCCGGCAAATCTCCCAACCCGCTCCGGGACCACCCCGGAGCCTCCCCGGTCCCCCCACGGGTCACCCCGACCTTCCCCACGGGGCTTTGCTGAGACACCCCCGCCCTCCGCTAGCCCCGCCACCCCCGCCCAGGATTCCCGCGGTTCTCGCGCGGCTGTCCCGGGAGTCCCCACGGCGCGGGCCCCGGGCGGGCGCTCACCGGTGCGAGTCGAAGAGCCGCTCGGGGCCCGGCGCCGCGGGCGGTTCCATCCCCGCCGTGCCGGGGCCTCACGGCCGCCCCGCACCCGCCGCCATCTTGCCCGCGGCCGCGCGCCTGGCCCGCGCGGGGCGCGCTGGGAACGCGCCGCCTTCCTGGTCCGCACCGCGCCGCCGCAGCACTCTCGCCCCGATCGCGGCCCTCGGCGGCTCCGGTGGACTCGGTGAGCGGCTCTGACAACAGGGCTGCCCTGATCCGCTGTCGCGCCGGTTGTCGGTGCATCTCGCTGGCGGCGGGACGGTAGCTCCCAGCGGGACTACAACTCCCGGCGTGCCCTGCGGCAGAACGCGCTTCCGGCACGGTCCGTCTCGGAACTACAGCTCCCGGCGTGCTCCGCGGTGGAAGGCAGCTTCGGGAGGGCCCCGCCTCAGGACTACAACTCCCGTAGTGCCCCGCGGCTCGGCCCCGCCCCGGAGGGCGTGGTTTCCGCTCGGCAGCATGGCGGCAGCGGCGCGGAGGGTGCGGATCCGGTGCATCCCGGTGCCACCGGGTGTACAGCGCTGGTGCCGAGCGCTGACCGGGACTGCTGAGCCACCGCCGCCCCCTCCCCCTCCTCCTCCTTCCCATCCCCCGCCACCGTCCGCCTGGGGCCGGTCTCTGGCGGCGGCGGTGGGCGCCGGGGCGGCGGCGCTGGTGCTGCTGTGGGCCCGGGAGCGCCGCCAGTCCCCGCTGAGCGCCGCCGTGCCCGCCCCGCCGCCCGCCCCTCCGCCTACCTCGCCCCGCGCCGCCTTCAACTTCATCGCTGACGTGGTGGAGAAAACGGCACCCGCGCTGGTCTACGTGGAGATCGTGGGCAGGTACCGGCACCGGGGGATTCCCGGGAGGAATTTCCCTCCTCCCGGCGCAGCGTGGCCCCGGCCGCTCCTGAACCGTCCCGGAGGGCTCCCACAGGTGCCTCGGGAGGGACCGACACGCGGCTGCCACACGCCGCTGCCGCTTCCGTGTCCTGCGGGGCCGTGTGGCGGAGCTGCCTCGTTGCTCTGCCTGCGAGCAGCACTTGGTGTTTATTTCCCTTTGTGCTCTCTAATGTTCCCACCATCCAATGCCTGCGGTCTCTTGGAGCACCTCTGTGCAGCAGCTCTGCCCTCACCAGCTGGGTGGCTGCTGCTCCCAGCTTGGTGTCACCCTCACTGTGTGAGGGGGCATCAGCTGGTGCTGCTCCTTCTCTGGGTTCCTGACCCACACTGGTAATAATTCACCCCCAGCTGGGCTTTGGCCTTGCTGCTCCATCCCATTTTCCATTCATTTCAGAAATTTGCATTTTCCTATGCCCTTTGTACCGTGGCAGAGGTTTCTTAAGTAAAAAGGTAAAAATTCAACACATAGTTCTATAGGCTAAACTTAAAATGCTTAATTCATATTGGTAACTCAAGTGAACTCCAAAAATCTCTTATTTCAATTTCACATGACTACCAGCAGAGATTGGGGTGCTTGACCAGGGCCCTGAATTGTGAGTCTATTCCTGCTATCAGGAAACGTTTGTGTTGCCTCTCAGGTGTTTGTTACCTGCTCCAAGGTTGGGCTCTGTGTGTCCCTGCACAGGTCACAGCCCCTCCTTCTCCCACGTGCTTCTATTCCTGGTGGGCTTGTACCTTTGTGGCTGTGCACGAGCTCTGGATTCCTGCTACATTCATGCACATTCCCCTATTTCTGCAGATTTTTGGGACAGGGAAGAATTCCCCATTTTGCTGCTCCCTGCTGCCTCCCAGCCCTGTCCCTGCCACTCCTGACCGTGCCCTCCTTTCAGGCACCCCTTCCTGGGCCGGGAGGTGCCCATCTCCAACGGTTCAGGTTTCGTGGTGTCCCCGGACGGGCTGATTGTCACCAATGCCCACGTGGTGGCCAACCGGCGGCGCGTGCGGGTGAAGCTGGCCAGCGGGGACATGTACGACGCCGTGGTGCAGGACGTGGACCAGGTGGCTGACATTGCCACCATCAAGATCAAGCCCAAGGTATGTGTGTGTGTGTGTCCTGGTGGCCATGGGGACACCGGGAAGAGGGGATGTTCTGTCTGTCCCGCTTTATGGGTAGTGCCAATATTGTGTCTCAGAATTTCTGTTGGTCAGAGTGACTCTGAGATAGGTACAAGTCTCTTTTCCCAGTCTGGTGGTTGAAGAAGGAGTCAGAATTCTTCTGTTTTCACTCTCAAGGTTGTTTATTGTTTCTTATCTATAACATTCTTTCTCTGACCTGCTGAGGTCTGTCCAGCAGGTCAGGTTGTGGCACACTGCCCACCCTTGGGGCAGTATTATTTTTTTATACTAAAAACTACCTGTACATTATTTACCATAACTTCCAATACCTATCACCTATGTTAGACAGTGAGCTTCTACTCTAAACCAATCCAAAAGTGCCACCATCACAGCAGAAGATGGAGGCCAAGAAGAAGAAAGAGAAAGACTGGACATGCCCAGATTCCTCCATCTTGCCTCCTGAACCCCCATTCTAAAAACCCCAAAAATCTATTTTTCACCCCATGACAAACTAACTATTATTCTACTTAGACTTTCTTGATTTGTAATTCTTCATATAAAGGTTGGTAATTTGCTCCATGGGTCAAAATCAAAGGCATGGGGGTCTTGGTCTCTGTGCCAAGGTCTCTGAGCCCCCTGGGCAGGGGCTTGAGCCCTCCAGGGATTCAGAGGAGTTTCCTGGGTTCTGACAGGGATGTGCCTTGGCTTGTCTGGCCCCTGCAGCTGAACCAAATAGTGGCAACTGTGGTGTTTCACCCCAGAGACATTTTTGGCTGGCTGGATGTTGCAGCTGGGTACATGGAGACAAGTCCAGGCATGCTGGGGCTCCAGTGGTGACGGGATGGAGCTTCCTCCCATGGAGGGGCTGCTCTTCAGGTTTCCCTCTGCTGGAGAAGCTTTAAGGCGAGGGTGAAGGAAAGGAGACAGTTCTGATGGAGGGTTTGGATCCAGAGCTTTTTTTCTGGCCCACAGACCTCTGAATCCAGCAACTCCTCCAACAGAACTCCTGGAGTGCGTGGTTGCTCTTTTACCCAGGGGAGGGGAGGAGGGAAAGGGTAGGAAGCCCCACCAAGCAGGTACAGGAGAGGAGGTCTCAAGGGGACAAAGGACACCTGGATGGCCCAATGCCTCCTGGGGGTAGAGAGCATCCTTTGAATCTGCCCAATCACTCAACACCCTTCAGGAATTCCAGGACTGACAGACAGTGCTGAGCAGGGATCAGGGTGGGGAAAGGAGGGATGATTGACACACCTGGGAGGGAATCTTCAAGAGGGGAGACACCCGGGGCTCTGGGCCAAACTATGAAACCACACCACCACTTTGTCCCACTGACCATCTCGCTGCCCACAGCACCCGCTGCCCACGCTGCCCCTGGGCCGCTCGGCCGAGGTGAGGCAGGGCGAGTTCGTGGTGGCCATGGGCAGCCCCTTTGCCCTGCAGAACACCATCACCTCGGGCATCGTCAGCTCGGCGCAGCGCGGCAGCCGCGAGCTGGGCCTGGCCGCCTCCGACATGGAGTACATCCAGACCGACGCTGCCATCGACGTAAGGGACATCGTGGGGACATCGTGGGGACAGGGAGGGGCTCACACGGAGCACGGGGGGGTTTGGCCGGTCGCTCTGGGATCGGCCTCAGGGTGGGGCTTTGGTGGTCTGCTCACACTCTCTCTCCTCTGCTGCAGTTTGGGAACTCTGGGGGCCCCCTCGTCAACCTGGTGAGTGCTGCTGCTTGTCCCCTTGCTGGATGGGGTGGGGATGTGCTGTGTGCCCCTTGTCTGTGCTCCTTTGTGGGTGCTGGGAGGCTTCCTGGAGGGAGAGGAAGGCTAAGCTGGCATGAGGGCCCTGTGCAGTGTCTGAGGCAGTTGGAGCTGGTGGGGCTTTGGTGGAGACAAGGTCTGGTGCTGGCAGGGCAGAGCCAGGGGCTGCATGGACTCATCCTGTAGACTCAGCCCCTGGGTCCTGCCCAGCCTTGGGCAGGGGTGGGCACAGAGGCAGGACCCCAGGCTGGTGCAGTAGTTCCCCTGCTCTCCACAGTGATCCTGCCTGGGTCACTGCTGGGATCCCAATGCCCTTTCCCTGCAGGATGGCGAGGTGATTGGTGTGAACACCATGAAGGTGACGTCGGGCATCTCCTTTGCCATCCCCTCGGACCGGCTGCGGAAGTTCCTGCAGAAGGAGGAGCAGCGCAAGAGTGAGTGGGGACCTCCCTGCTCGGGCTTTGGGGGAGGAGGGTGAGAGAGGGAAACTTTGGGCTCTGGACCCTTCTTCCTGAGAAATTCAGGAGAGCAGGAGAAGTCTTTGGGGTCTCATCTGGTGCCACAGGAAAGCTGTGCTGCTGTTGCCTTGCCTGGTTCTCCTGTGACACTGGGGAGGGACATTCTCTGTCAAAAATCTGACAAACCAGGGAAGCCAAATCACGGTGCAAAAAGCAACACCTGGAATGCTCCTGCTGGTGCTGGGAGCTGGACTGAGCTGTTGCAGGGAGTTGGAATAGCTCTGCATGCTGCCTGCCCTGAGGGCTCTGAGGGAGGAGGATGAGAGAGGGAAACTTTGGGCTTTGCACCCTTCTGCCTTTGAAAGGCAGGAGAGCAGGAGAAGTTTTTGGGGTCTCATCTGGTGCCACAGAGAAGCTGTCTGCAGGGATTGGAGCTGATGCAGTGTTTGAGGGAAGAATGCTGTCACTGCTGCCTTGCCCTGTCTGGTTCGTCTGTGACACTGGGGAGGGACATTTCTGTCAAAAATCTGACAAACCACAGTGCAAAATACAACACCTGGAATGCTCCTGCTGGTGCTGGGAGCTGGACTGAGCTGTTTTAGGGATTTGGAATAGCTCTGGATGCTGCCTGCCCTGAGGGCCCAGCCCAGCACTGTTGTGAGCAGATCTCTGTTTCCAGCCATGCCATTCCATGTCCTTTCCCTCCACAGGCTCTTGGTTTGGCAATGCAGAGTCCAAGCGCCGGTACATCGGGGTGATGATGCTGACCCTCACTCCCAGGTACCTGTCCTGAGCTCAGGGGCCAGCAGGCCAGTCCTGTTGGGACAGGGATGGGATGGGATGGGATCTTCCCAACTAACTCAGGATGCCTGGTTTTGGTAGGATTGTCTCCACAGCTTAAGCTTTCACTCTCAGATCTCTTTGTGCTTGTGTTGGGGTTAGAATGCTGGCTGGCTCATGGATAAATTGGAAACTTGCAAGTTTGTTCAGTGGTAGCAGACTCTGTGAGGAGATGAAAAGTGCTCTCCTTCTCCACAGGATGGTGGAACCTGGTGGGGGTCAGGCTGTGCTCCCAGGGAACAAGGGACAGGACTAGAGGAAGCTGCCTCAGGTTGTGCCGGGGGGGGAGGTTGAGGTTGGATATTGGGAAAATTCCTCCTTGAAAGGGCTGTCCAGCCTTGGCATATCTGCCTGGGGCAATGGTGGAATCTCCATCCCTGGGAGGATTTAACAGCCCTGTTGTGGATGTGGCATTTGGGGACATGGCCAGTGCTGGCCTTGGCAGAGCTGGGGGAGTGGTTGGACTTGATCTTAAAAGTTTTTTCCAACCCAAACAATTCTGTGAAGTGCCCCTGCCAGCAAGCAGGACCTGTGCTCTCACCTCTGGGAGAAGGACAACACCTGCTCTGGTTCTTTGGCTCTCGCAGCCACATTTAAGAGACCTTCAGCTGCCTCGTGGGGCAGGCACTGTGCCATGCTGGGCCAACACCTTTTGGGGCTGTGCTCTGCCCTGCTAAAGCTCTGGTGAGTTCCCCGTTGCCCAGCAGATGGTGCTGGTAGCCGGCAGAACCCGAGGGATGTGGGAGGCCAGCCCAGCCTCCTCCTGCTTCCCTGGCCACGCTTGCAGGGGCCGGCTCTGTCAGGAAGCAGCGTGAAATTCCTCGGACACGGCTCCGGGCACGCGGCTCCAGCTTCTGCAGAGCCCCCGAGCCGATCCAGGGAAAGCACCTGACTGCCAGCCTTGTTTGTGCCCAGCAGGAAGGGCTCCCAACAAGGGCCTTGGAATCGTGTGACTGCCCTGGACCTTTCCATCTGGAAACCTTTCCCTGGCTCAGGAAGGAGAAGCTCTGTGTTGGGCACAGGCTCAGGCTCAGACCCAGGCCAGATAAGAGGCAGTGGGCACAGAGATGTGTGAGAGTCCCCAAGAAATCTGTTTTTTTACTGTGAGGAGGGTGCTCAGAGCCTGGAGGGTCCTTGGAGATCCTCACAACCCAGCTGGACACAGTCCTAGAGCAGCCTCCCCTGACTGAGCCTGCTGGGGGTCGGGTGAGATGAACTTGAGAGGCCTCTTCCCACCTTTGCTGTGTGAAATTGGGAAGGGATGGCAGCTTGCCCTGGGCTGTGGGACAGCACAGTTGAGTTCAGCACAGACCACAGCCACGTGGGGAGCCCTGAGTGGCTGAGCAGGGAGCTGAGAGGAGCAGAGCTGGGCAGAGACTGAATGTGTGGGTCTGCAGGGATTGGAGCTGATGCAGTGTTTGAGGGAAGAATGCTGTCACTGGAGAGATCCAGCTGGAGTGTTGCATCCACTTCTGGATTTCATTCAAGACGGGTGAGGAGCAGCTGGGGAGAGTCCAAAGAAGGAGCTGTGAGAGATTGAGAGTTTAAATTTGGTTTAGAAATTCTAAAGTCTGTGGGAAAGTGTGAGAAACTGTGATTGTTTAGTCTCTAGGCTCAGGAGGAGGGCTCTGCTGACATGTCTGGCAGGAAGAGGGGCACAGCTTGTGTTGTGTATCCTGCCCAGCTAGGGCAGAGAAGTGAAACTGCAGCAGAGGAGGGGCGGGTCTGACCCTGGGAAGGCTGCTGTGACATGGGGATGTGCATCACCACAGCTCTGATCCAGCTGGCAGCTGCTCCAGGGGGTTTCCAGCACTCCCTGGTGCCATTGGGATTCTCATCCTCTCACTTTGACAGGAGGATGGTGATGTTTGGGGCTGGCAGCTGTGGCTCAGCACGGTGCAGGGACACAGGAGGGGAGGTTCTGTGCCTGTCTCTAGCCCTGTGCAGCTGCAGGGACACAGGAGGGGAGGTTCTGTGCCTGTCTCTAACCCTGTGCAGCTGCAGGGACACAGGAGGGGAGGTTCTGTGCCTGTCTCTAGCCCTGTGCAGCTGCAGGGAGTGGGGTGGGAGCCCTGCTCTGCCTCCAGCTCCATCCCTGATGCTGCTGTTCTCTCTGCAGCATCCTGACAGAGCTGAAGCTGCGTGACCCCACCTTTCCTGACATCTCCTACGGTGTGCTGATCCACAAGGTGATCATCGGCTCTCCAGCACACCAGTAAGTGCTGCCCTGTGCCTTAGGGCTGCCTGGGGAAGCAGCTGTGGGATGTGTTTTGCTCCAGAGCAGCAGGGCTCTACAGCTGAGAGGGGAACCTTTCCCCAGGTTGGCTGTCTTGATGTAGAACCTCTGGTGCCACAGCTCCTGCTGCACTTGGAGGACGATGACACCGAGTGTCTGCCTCAGCCTGCGTGTGCTTGTCCCCACAGGGCAGGGCTGAAGGCTGGGGACGTGGTGCTGGAGATCAACGGGACGGTGTCGCGGCGTGCTGAGGATGTGTATGAGGCGGTGAGGACGCAGCAGAGCCTGGCCCTGCTGGTGCGGCGTGGCTATGACACCCTGCTGGTGAGCGTCGTCCCCGAGGTCACCGAGTAGCAGAGACCACCCAGCTGGAGCTGAGGGCAGGACTGAGACGTGTCTGTGCTGGCCAGGCAGAGACAGAGCTTGTGCAGGGCTGGAAGGGGCCAGGAGAGGGGTCTGTGCTTGGGTGACTTGTGGTGCAGCTGTTCCCCTCTCTGCTCAAATAAAGCACTTTTCTAGCGGCCCCCAGGGCCGTGTCATCTCCTTCCCTGGTGGAGGCTGGGCTGTGTGGGACCTTGCTCCTCCTGTCAGTCCCCTCGAGGCAGCTGGGAAGGAGCTTGCTGTGCCTCCAGGGTCCTTATCAGTGTTCATGGTGTTCTGCCACCTGCTTGGAACCCACCTGGGCTGGGATCTGACTCCTCTGTGTACCTGGCAGGCAGCTGTTGAGCCAGGGAGTGTGGCCTCGCTGTGGGTGAGAGCAGGTCTGGGACCAGCATTACCTCCCCGGAGTGCAGCAGTGCTGGTGTGCTACAACCATCTGGTCACATCCCTTCTGCTGCGAGCTCTGTGACCACTCCAAGCCCTGTATCCACATCCCCTCCCATGCAGCAGCTTTCCAGGCCGTGGTAAATCGGTGTCAATGCTGGATTTGTGATGGCTGAGGTGGCATCTCCTGGCCCTGATGTCCATCCAGGAGGGCTGAGGACGGCCCTGATGTCCATCCAGGAGGGCCGAGGATGGCCCTGATGTCCATCTAGGAAGGCCGAGGACGGCCCTGATGTCCAGGAGGGCCGAGGATGGCCCTGATGTCTATCCAGGAGGGCCGAGGATGGCCCTGATGTCCATCCAGGAGGGCCGAGGATGGCCCTGATGTCCATCCAGGAGGGCTGAGGACGGGTCTGATACCCAGGAGGGCAGAGTTTGGGAGCCCCAGCTGGGCCGGGGCTCTGCCTGTCCTGCCCCCAGCTCGCTGTCAGTGCTGGAGCTCTGCTCCCACACACACCCGGCCCCTGGGGACGGCTGGCGGCCATCGGGGAAGGAGCAGCCCCGGCTGTTCCTCGCCTTCCTGGAAGAGAAGCGGCGAGGAAGCCCGGAGCAGCGGAGGAATGCGGCTGTGGGGCCAGGCCCTGCCCGTGACGGTGCTCCCGAGCCCCAGCCTGCCGCTTTGGGGACATGAAAGAAGCACAGTTCCTCGGAGGTGCTGCGGCAAGGGGCGGCTCTGCCCTGAGAACAGCGCTCCTTTCAGCAGCCCCGGCCCCGCCGGAGGAATTCGCTGCCCCGGCCAGCGCCGCCGGCCCGGGGGAAATGGCGGCGTGTCTGGCATAGCTGTTCGGCTGTGCTGACCGCAGCGTTCCGGGGCCGAGCCAAGGCCGGCTCCTTCCTCCTCCCCGGCTGAGGGCAGTGCCCGGGGTCTCCGCAATGGGGAAGGGTTGGTGGGGTCAGAGCAGCCAGCTGAGGGGTGAGAGCTGGGCTGGAGCTCCCTGGGCCCTCGTGTCACATCCCAGTGTTCCTGCCCAGTGCCTCGGCCCCAGGCCGGGCTGTGCTCCCACATGAGCCGAGGCAGCCCCGCTCTGCTGTGGGACCTCGGTTCTTGTGGGTCACGGTCCGGTGGACCCCAGGGATTTCCTGTGGACCCCAATCCCCAAGGGTCACAGCCCCAGGGATTTCCTGTGGACCCCAATCCCCAAGGGTCACAGCCTCAGGGATCTCCTGTGGATCCCAATCCTCAAAGGGTCACAGCCCCAGGATGGATGGGATTTCTGCTTGGTAACATTCACCCTGGATCTGGTGAGGTGGAACCAGCTCATCCCTGCTCCTCAGTTCCTCCCCACACGGTGCTGTGGGGCTGCTGCTGGTCCCTTCCTCTCACCCACCTGGGCTTACCCCTGGAGGACCAGCCCTGGCTGAGGATGGTGCCGGGGGCTGCTGTGGGGCCAGGGCTGTGTGGATGAGGCATTGCAGGGACCAGGGCATGCTCCTACACTGTGCCAGGGTGGCGACCAGCCCTGCAGAATGAACCCTGCCACCTGCTCCTCATCCCAGCCCAGAGACGTGCCAGCAGCCATTGAGAAATAGAACTTACAACTTTATAGAGGAAATAAAATTACAACTGAGAGATGGGGTAGGAGCCACCCCTGGGCAGCGCTGTGGGCAGAGACACCTGCGCCATCCCCAGGGGGACCAGTGGCTCCTGGGGCCCTGTGTGGGTGGTGGGCCCTGGGGCCAGCTGAGGGGGTGAGCTGTGGGGTGAGAGGAACCAGGGCTGAAGGGGGCAGTGGGAGCTGGGGTGCAGCTGGGATGGGAGGGATGCAGGACCTCCCGGACTGTACCCGTGTGCCGCAGCCCAGGGGATGTGGGCACGCTCTTCTGGCCAGTGGTTGGGGTGGCAGCCCCAGGCTGGGAGGTGCAGGTGCCTCCAGCACCAGCCCCACCGAGGTGGGCAAGGGCAGCCGGTGGCAAGTCCTGGGCAGTCCCCGGCAGGACACAGTGGCAGCAGCACTGGGCATCAGGCCTCCCTGCCGGTCTTCCAGCAGCTTCCTCCCACCAGTATGGGGTGAGGGAGGGAGATGCCTGTCTCCCCAGGGCCGGGGCCCTATGAAATCTGGTTGTTGAGCTGACCTGGGTACTGCTCAAACCGCTTGTTGGCCTCCTCGCTGAGTGCATCTCCTGCGGGCAGAGGGCAGGGGCTGTCAGCTCTGCTGCAGTGCATCCCCTGCCAGCACCTTCCACTGTAGGTGCCCCCAGCAGCACCATCCTCATCCTCATGGCTTCCTGCAGCCCTGTCACTGCCCTCCACCCTCACCCCCGTGCTGTGCCCCAGGCCGTTACCGATGTGGCAGCTGTGCACCCAGATGCGGTGCCCGTCGTACTTGCAGTTGCATTTCATGGCATTGTTGGTGAAGTCACTTTCTGCCACCTCAAAGTTGGGGTTGATCACGACCTGTGGGGCACTGACAGTGAGATCCCAGCCCCAGCCCCACAGGATGTATCTCCCCAGCTGTGGTGGGTGTGCTGGAGAGCTCCAAGGAGCCAGTGGCTGCTGATGTGATGGGGTGGCCCTCTCCCTGTGCACCATGAGCAGTGCTGCTCAGAGTTGGAAAACCCATGTGGCAGCATGTCTGAGTCTGTGGGCACAAGGACAGGCAGTGCCAGCACACCCACTGAGCTCCAGTGGGACAGAGTGATGGGTGGCTGAAGTGTGTGGGGGGCTGAGGTGCAGGGACAGGGGCTGGGAGGGTGACAGGGGAGGGTCAGGTGCAGCACCTGCAGGATGTAGTTGCCTGGTTTGACATCAGTGATGTCGATCCACTGGCAGTCGATGTCGTGCCGGTACAGGTCCCAGCAGCCCACGGTGATGCCCTGCTCCCCAAAGTTGGCACATTCGTACCTCTTGGCCACGTCTGCAGGCAGGAGGAGACACAGCTGGTCCCTGCTGAGACCCCCCAGCCTGGCCCCACCATGGGGACACAGGCAGGGACAGTGCTGCAGGGCTCCATGTCACCCACCTTCCTCGCACTCAGTGTCCTCCAGGCAGAAGCTGGCCTTGTGTCCCTCGGCCACCTTGGTGCCATTGGGGGTCAGGATGTCATAGTGGGTGAAGATGTCCATGCTGTGGTAGTGCCTGTGGGAGGGAGCCAGCACCTGCTGCAGACTGCCCTGCCCTGCATCAGCCCCCTGCTGCCAGGAATGTCCCCACAGAGCCCCTGCTCTGAGGTGGCAGCACTGTGAGGTTGGGCAAGGCTGTGTCCTGCCCTGGAAGGGGACACAGCTGTCCCCAGCCAGCTGGCCCACGCAAGCAGAGGGTTCAGCTGCAAGGCACAGCCTGCAGCCCTGTCCCTGCCTTCCTGGAGACCCCAGCCCCAACATTGCTTATCCATGAACAGCCCCTAAGCCAAACCAGACAAAATTGGACCCTGAGCACCAGATTTGGGCTATGCAGTGTCACCTTCACCCAGTGTGGAGGGACAGAATGTAACAGAATAATGCAGAAGGTAATCTCACACCTGAGGAGTTGCAGCTGTACTAATCACCAAAGATTTAGAACAGGCCTGCCCTTAATAGGCCACAGCTGTGTCCAATAAGAAGATGAGTGCTACAAAAGAGTGGGTTAGCTGGGTGAGGGGAGAGTTGGAGTTTGTTGGTTGTGCTGTGAGGAAGAAGGAGTCAGTGCTGCGAGGAGCAGGCCATGAGAAATCACTGAGAAGGTCTGGGACTTTTGAAACAAGGTGACAACAACCCGGTGTCACCCTCATCCAGCATCACCCTCTCTCAGTGTCATACTTGCACAGTGTCACTGTCTTTTAGCGTCACCCCTGTTCAGCACGCTCCTCGCCCAGCCCATTGCAGCAGCCCACCCTCTCCCCTCCCTGACCCCCAGCCCCATGTATCCCCTCCCTGCTGTGCCCCACACGCACCGGTGGCACTCGTGCCAGACCCAGGAGTGGCGGCCGGCCTTGGGGCGGAAGTCGGCGCGGCCGCGGTTGTGGATCTGCGAGGAGAAGCGGAGCAGGCGGCGGTGGCCGTAGGGCCAGTTGGCCAGGCGGGCCGAGCTGGCCAGGCAGTTCTCCTCAGCAGCACAGTACAGCATGTGCAGCGGCCTGTCCTCGATGTACGCCGTCTCCTGCACCAGCGGCGCGTGCAGCAGCAGGTCTGAGGCGGCTGGGGACAGGCGGCTGCTCAGGGACAGGCCCTGCTCTCGGCAGGGATGGGGCGAGTGGAGGGGCTGGGGCAGTGCCCAGGGCTGGCAGGGTTGAGCCAGCCAGGAGGGGCATGTGCCCTCTGCAATGGCTGGTTGTTGGCTGAACCCTGACCTCCAGCTGCAAACTCCACTGAGCACAGCTCCTGGCCCCACTACACCGGTGTCTACAGAGCCCATCGCCCACACACCCCAATGCTCAGAGTCCATGCCTGCAGATCCCACTGCCTGCAGACTCCACCACCCACAGATGGCAGTGCTCAGAGTTCATGCCTGCAGACCCCACTGCCCACAGAGCCCACTACCTGAAGATCCCAGTGCCCACAGAGCCCAGTGCTCAGAGTCCATACCTACAGACCCCACTGCCCACAGACCCTAGTGCTCAGAGTCCATACCTGCAGACCCCACTGCTGGCAGACCCCAGTGTTCAGAGTCCATACCCACAGACCCCACTGCCTGCAGACCCCACTGCCCATAGACCCCACTTCCCACAGACCTCACTGCCCACAAACCCCACTACCCGCAGACCTGACCACCCACAGACCCCAGTGCTCAGAGTCCATACCTGCAGACCCCACTTCCCACAGACCTCACTGCTGGCAGACCCCACTGCCCACAAACCCCACTACCCACAGACCTGACCACCCACAAACCCCACAGCTCAGAATCCATACCTGCAGAGCCCACTGCCCACAGCCCCTCGCTGCAGAACCCCCAGCACAGACAGGCCCCCCTGCAGCCCCCATTCCCTCAGCTCACTCTCGGAGCAGATGACGCCCGCAGCGAAGCGCGTGCCCGTGTTCCTGCAGCTCAGGCTGGCGCCGTGGTGCTGGCAGTGGCTCAGGGACATCTCGTGGCCAGCGCACTTCACCCCGCTCATGACCATCTCTGTCACGTTGCTGGCGTCCCAGTACCAGGTCTCCTGGCGAGGGGGTGAGGCAGGGTGGGTGGCAGGGCTGGTGGCCAGATTGCCCAGGATCACTTCTACCCAGGCTGCAGCCGAGCCCCCCACCACAGCTGCCCACAGGGGTCCATGTCCCTCTGTCCCCACCTGTCCCCATGCAGCCCCACGGTTGTTTGGGAAGTGCTGGCTGGTGCCTGTGCTCACCAGGGGCCCTCCTCTCTGGCACCTACCGTCACAGCGTGCAGGGAGTAACCCAGGCCGAGCTGACGACAGGCCACCATGGCCTCCTTGGTGGTCCAGCCATCGCTGCAGACCGTGCCCCACTTACTGCCTCTCTTCACCTCCACGCGGCCCTCAAACTCTGTCCTCCCGCCGGCCAGGCGGATCTGCAGGGAAACCCTGGGGCCGTGAGCAGGCACCCCATGCTGTGCCACCTCCTGTCCCCCCTCCGTCCCCATCCATCCCTGTCCCCAGCCCTGTGAGCAGTGGTGGTGGCTGCTGCTGCCCTGGCCAAGCTGGTGCTGGCACCTACTTGTAAGCCGTGGTTAGCGAATCCCAGCCCCAGCTGGCGACAGGCCACCATCGCCTCGAGGGTGCCCCAGCCTTCTCCGCACACCAGACCCCAGCGGGGCTGGTCCCCGTCGCCAGCCCCCACCGCCACCTCGACCCGCCCCTCGAAGCGGCTCCGGCCCCCGCTCAGCCGAATCTGCAGAGAAAGGCGGTGGCAGCGTCGTCACCGTCACAGGCGATGCTCCCCCTGCATGCAGGGCTGTCCCCGGCCCCTGTCCCAGGCTGTGCCTGCACATGGGGATGGGGAAGCAGGAACTGAGCAGAGCCAAGCACAGCTTTGGTTGGCAGGGAACTTGCCAAAACTGGTGGATTTGGGGACAAGAAATGGCTTGTGAGTTTGGGAATTGTCTCACCCGGCACTGAATGAACTGAAAATAGTTCATTTTGAAATGGCGTCATTTCAGACATTACAGGTGTGAGAGAGTTAAAGATCATTAAAAAGAGCTCAGAGTGGATGAAACGATGGGCCAGGGCAAACAGGAACAAAGGGCTCCATTTGCTTGTTTCATCACAGGTAAAAAAAAAAAATCTCTTGGTTATCCCACAGTGATTTTTTTTTCTGGTGGTTCTGTTGGGGAGTGGGCACAGGCTGGCAGCAGGAAAAGCAGCAGGGAGCAGCACCCACAGAACACCCAGAGCCCCGACAGCCTCCCCTCCACCCTCTTCCTCACAGGGGTTCCCACCCACAAAATCCCTGATCTCCCAGGACAGGGGGAAATGTGTGGGGTGCAGAGGAGGACAGATGAGGTTCCCATGGATTCTGTGGGCCTTTCCCAGCCCCCCACTCTGAGACCCCACTGCTGGGAGCCCCCTGGAGCCAGCAGCCCCCATGGTGTGCACCAGGTTCTCGTAGCCCATGTAGGGGATGTTGCAGCGAACAGCAGCGTCCTCCGTGTGCTTGCAGTCCTCCTGGGTGATGTTCCTGAAGGGACAGTTCCACAGGGACTTCTCGGTGCCCCGGCACTGCACCTCGTTCAGGTGGATGGGGCCTGTCCCTGCAGGAGGACAGCAGAAATCAGGGCCCCCCTGTGACACAGGGATGCTCAGGGCTGTTGTCACGTTTCTCTTCCCAAGGATTTCTGAGAGTCACATTCTCTGAACCTCAGAGAAAGGGAAAACATAATTCTTATCACTTGCTGGGCCTGTGTTGTGCCAAAGTAGAATGCAATGTGGAGATTGTTTATCCAAAGTGAGGATGTTTTGTTTCCTTGGCCTATCAGGGCCAGCTGTGTGTGTGTGTGTGTGTTGGGACTGTGGGCTGAGATTCTCTGCAGTGGAGTGCAGCTAAGTGCTTGGCAGATTCAATTTCGATGAAATGTACACAGTATAGTATAATAAAGTAATTCATTAGCCTTCTGATACCCACGGAGTCAGATGCTTCATTCTCTCTCCCCTTCATCAGAATCACCTTTCATTGCAGTACAGGACCACCCATGTCCCCAAGGCTGCCCTCTCTTTTTGGCAGGTCTGAGGGAGCTGGGCACTCCAGCCTCCACAGCTGCTGCCTGGGGCAGTGTGGTTGAGTGGCCATGGTCCCATTGGGATGCTCCATGTATCCCAGTGCTCACAGGACACCCCAGCCAAGCAAAGCCTGGATAAGTGCCTCATCCTCAGCTCCAGGAGGGGATGCCTGGTGCTGTAGCAGCCACAGGGCCTGCAAGGCCTCCCTGGCAGTCAGTTGCCTAAGATAAGAAATGCCTAGTCATGATGACTGGACCAAAAGAAGCCCCTCTTCCACCTCCAGACTCTTGTTATCTCTCTGTAAGGCAACAGGTCACTTTGACCTCAACTCTTACTATTGGACTGTTTCCCAAAACCCCTATACCCTATAGAAACCCCCATTCCTGCACTGTTCAGCAGAAGAGCTGTCACTGTCACCATTCACAGAAGCTGCTAATAAAGACACCTCTGTGGAACTATGTCACATTCACATTTTCTGAAAAATCCTTTCACCCAGGATTTTTCTCCTGGGAAGCTGAGAAGCCTCAGAGAAAAAGGAAAACAATTCTTATCTCATTTGCTTCTCCTGTGTTGTGCTCACATGTGGAATGTGTTTGGAGATTTTTTACCCACAGGTGATTGTTTCATTGGATTTCTGGTGTGAGTGTTTTGACTCAATGGCCAATCAGTGACAAGCTGTGTCGGGACTCTGGAGAAAGTCAGGAGTTTTCATTATTATCTTTTTAGCATTCTGTAAGTATCCTTTCTGTATTCTTTAGTATAGTTTAGTTTAGTATTCTTTAATATGGTATTTTAAAATAATAAATTAGCCTTCTGAGAACATGGAATCAGATTCATCAGTCCTCCCTGTTACCTTGATTTTTTAAGATTTTCTAAGCTTTCTGATGTTTACATTCTTGTAATAAACTTTCTCACACACTTTCTGTAAATAACTTATTGTTTTGCATTCTTTTCTAGAAGACATTTAATAAACTGTTAGTTTGTCCAGTGTCATTGAAGAGGTGGCACTTTCACCCTCCAATCCACTGTCACTTTTAGAAATCTATAAATACTAGAGTCAGAAAACAAACTTCCCTTCTTTACCTTAAAAACAAGTGTATGCATGTTGTGTTATTTTGTGTTCTATAGTGACACCTCCCTGCCATGAGGGTCCCAGCAAATACAACAGAACCTCATACAATTCTTCTCCTCTCTCTGTCCTGTGTCTGCTGAGGCACTTAACAAGCAAAGAGCTGAAATCACTGAGAGCTGAATTCAAAGAGCTGATCTCACTTAAGAGCTGAGCTGCCTGCTAAGATTGCCTGCAGCTGGGAGCCTGCCTGAGGGACCTGGACAAGTGGAGTGTTGCGGTGTGGTGTCATGGTTTGCCTCAGATACCCTGGGTTTCTCCGTGAAGATTTGTGTCAGTCTCCTCTCCCTCCCCGACCCCTGCCCAGCACTGTCTGTCAATCCTGGCATTCCAGAAGGGCATTGAGTGATTGGCAGAATTCAAAAGATGCCCTCCACCCCCTGGGGGACATTGGGCCATCCAGGTGTCCTTTGTCCCTTGAGACTTCCCCGCCCCATACCTGGTTGGTGGCCCCCCGTGCCCCTTCCCTCTCCCCAGGGTTCAAAGGAACAGCAAATATGCAGTTCAGGAGGTTCTGTTGGAGCTGGTGCTGCATTCAGAGGCCTGTGGGCCACAATAAAGCTCTGGATCCAAACCCTCCATCAGAACCGACTCCTTTCCTTCACCATCACCTTAAAGCTTTTCCACCAGAGGTAAACCTGAGGACCACCAGAGCTCCTGCATGCCTGGGCTTGTCTCCACATGCCCATCTGCAGCATCCAGCCAGCCAAAAGTGTCTCTGGGGTGAAATCACCACAGTTGCTGCCTTTTGGTCAAGCAGCAAGGGCCAGACAAGCTCAGGCACGTCCCGTTCCAGCTATATTGGCAATTATTCCAATAGTGGAGCTTAGCAAGTGTCAGGACCCAGGACATCCCTCTGGCTGTCCTGAGCACCCAAGACCCCTGCCAGGGGTCTCAGGGACCCTGGCACAGAGCCCAAAATACCTGTGGTTTTGATTATGACCCGTGGAGCAAATTACCAACCTTGTATGAAGATCAGCAAACCACAACAGTTTAAGCAGAATATTAGTGAAGCTATCACGGGGTGGAAAAGTAGATTTTAGGGTTTTTGGTATGGGGGTTCAGGAGGCAAGATGGAGGGAACTGGGTGTGTCTTTAAAGAAACCTTTCTGCTTCTTCTTCTTGGCCTCCATCTTCTGCTGTGATGTTGGCACTTACAGATTGGTTTAGATTAAGAAGCTCACTGTCTAACATAGGTGATAGGTATTGGGAAGTAATTGTAAACATTGTATATGTGGTTTTTAGTATAAAAAGATAACACTGCCCCTGGGGCAGGCAGAGTGCCTAGAACTGTCTTGCTGAGCTGACCTCGGCAGGGCAGGAGAAAATTTTTTATAGATAAGATAAAATAAACAACTTTGAGACCGAGAAATGAAGAGCTCTTACTCCTTCTTCAAGCACCAAGCTGGGAAAAGAGACTTTCCAACTTTTCTTGGGGTCACTCTGACCAGCTAGAGATCCCAACAAGCAAGACTTTGCTATCCAGACACCTACTGCAGCTGGGGTTGGAGAGACCCCAAGAACCCCCTGCTGTAATAAATGCAGCCCTGCAGTCTGCCCAGCAGGCTCACCTTGGCCCATGCGTGCCCCGGTGAGGGCCTCCTTGGCGCTGCCGAAGCCCAGCTCGCGGCACACCACGCTGGCCGACTGCAGGTTCCAGCGGTCGTCGCAGATGGTGCCCCACTCGCTGCTCCTGAGCACCTCAACGCGGCCCTCGCCCACCCTGGCGCCGCCCTTCAGCCGGATCCGGGGCTGTGGGAGCAGGGACAAGGGTGGGACAGTGTAGGGTGGCACACGCAGCGCTGGGATGTGCGGGGACAGGACACCGTCCCCACCTCCCGCTCCGGAGCTGGTCACCCACCAACCCACACACCTGAGGACAGAGCCTGGCCCAGAGTGGGGCACTGTCCTGCTGTGGGCCACCACAGAACTCGTCCCCCTCCCTGCAGGGCTCACCTGGCCCTGCTGCTGCTGCTGCTGGCGCTGTTTCTTCTTGTGGGCACTGCCAGTGGCAAAGAGGGGCCCGGGCACGCAGCTGACCACGGCGGGCATGCCGGAGCCGCAGGCTGCTGAGGAGTTGCCCCGGTAGAACTCGAAGGAGCACATGGACAGGTGCACCTCTGTCCCCGTGCAGGACACCGAGTGCAGGCGGTAGTTGAGCTGCTGCCGCTCTGTGAAGAGCCTGTGAGGGGGACAGGAGCCCTGAGCCATGGCCAGAGTGAGCAGTGGCAGTGGAGGTGTCACCAGCCACCCTGCCTGCAGCTGCACGTGCTGGCTGTGCCCCTTGCCCTGTCCCCAGGGTGACACACGGTGCCTGCCAGGCACCCACCCCTTGCCAGGTGCCTGTGCCACACCCCCAGCAGCACAGGGACACACATGGGGACACACACAGCTCTGGGGCTCCTGCCTCTGGCTCTCCACTGAGCCATTTACCTCTTCTTGGGCCCTACGTCCTCCCTGCGCTTTTGTTTAGGCTGAGATTTGGAGGCCAGCCTGGAAAATAGAAAACAACCATCACAAAACCTGGGATTTCAGGCTGTCACCTCTGCCCTCAGCAGTGACACAGGGATCACAACCTGCCCTGGCTTCACTGGAGACTGAACTCGCGTGCATCCCCTTTGTGTCACACAGGGGTGCAACAGCATCATCTGCTGCCAGCAGTGTGACACAGCCACACTCCACAGCAGTGATGCAGTTTCCTGCATGCATCCCACCAGGAAACTGCTGGATGCAGCCACATCTGCTCTGCCTTGTCACAGACCAAAAGATCAAACACCAGCAGCCACCATTTGATCAGTCAGGTGTGGTCGTGTCTGTGTCCTCATCCAGACACCATGCTACCACTGTGCCATGTCCCCAAGGTGCAGGACACCCAGCAAGCAGCACAGGCAGCCCCAGGGTGCTTGTCCTGGAGCCATGGGACACAGTGGGACTTGCTGCAGGCTGGCAAGGGCTGCTGCCAGCGAGGGAAGCAGCCCTGGCACAGGCTGAGCCATGAGGGAAAGCTGCCTGGGGCTCAGCACACAGAAGGTGTAGGTGCAATCCCAACATCCTCAAATACTTGTTTCCCTCAGGGAGGAAGATGCAGAGCAGAGCCAAAACCCCAGAGCCCACAGGGAGTGAAGAGCAGAGTGGCCCAAAGGAGGGCAGGGGACTGCCAGCCCCAGGGACCAGGCAGAGCCAAGCCTGGCCACTGTCCCCACAGGGCAGCACAGGTTGGTGTCAGCTGCACAGGACACAGCACAGGGCTGGGATTCATACAGCCAGAGGGCATCAGTGCCCACTCACACTCAGGAAACCACATCTGGATCCTGCACCTGGATCTGGGTCCCCAGGACAAGAAGATGCCATGTGTGTGGTGTGAGCCCCAGGGAGAGCAGCCAGCCAGAGGCCTGGCAGGGGCTGGGGGTGTGGGACTGCTCCAGCCAGGGCTGAGCTGGGAGCTGTGAGGATCCTGGCTCTTCCAGCAGGGAGGGAAGAGCACAAGAGGAAAGAGGCATGACTGACAACAAAAGGTTCAGGCTCAGGGTAAGGAAAACCTTTTGCCCATGAGGGCTGTTCTACATTGGAGCAGAGACCGCAGGGCTGCTGAATTTCCATCCTTGGAAGGTTTCAAAAGCCAGCTGGATGAAATCCTGGGTTTAACCCACAGCTGGCTCTGCTCCACACAAGGAGTTGGCCCAGGACTCCCAGAGGTCCCTTCCAGCCTGGATTATCCTTGTGCTTTCATAGGACTGTGGCTGTGCAGCCCCAAATTGATCACCCCCTACAAAACAGTGTGGCTCTCAGGAGCCAGTTCCTGCTCAGGGCAGATGGACAGGATTTCAGCCTCATGGAGACACAAAACATCTCCTCCAGTGCTGCAGGGGAAGGAGCTGCTCGCTGGGAAAGGGGCAGTCAGCACCAAACCAGCCATTGGAGCAACCAGGACCTTCAGGTGGGAGCTGAGGAAACCCATGGGATGATCCTGCCTGAATTCCCATCACCAGCTGCAGGAGATGGCAAGGATGACTGTAGGGGACACAGATCTGGGAATGTCACAACAAAGAGCTCACAGTGAGTGTTGGGCACATTCAGCACCAGGGAAGGTGGTGGGACTGGGGCTCAGGAAAGAGGTGCCAAGCCCCTGCCCAGAGAGGATGAGCTCTGGCTCACTGTATCCACCAACAGATCCAGCAGCAGGATTCAGGGATGGAGGGAAAAGGCAGCCAGACCATCCCCTAGGCCTGGCAGAAAGGCAGCAAGAATGAGTAGGCAGAGGATGAGTGGGCAGACCCCAAGCAGATGTGGCACTTGGGGCAGGACCTGCCACACTGTGCCCATCAGCACTGCTGAGCACAGGCTCTGGTGCCCATGCCAGCCCATCCTGCAGGGAATGGAGGGGTGCACAGCCCTTCCAGCACCCCCAGTGCTGCTTTCTGCAGAAAGCAGCCCATTTCCACAGCCCTTCCTCCCCATCCACCAGGAGAGACAGCTCTGCTCCGAGGCCTCCTGCTGCCCTCCCGGGGTGCCAGGACTCCTGCCTGGTGTGCAGGACAGGGCTGCTCTGCCTGGAGCACGACCAGCCTGGGAGAGAGATCGTCTCTTGTGGGGAATGGGGAACTCCAGCACGCCCAGGCAGGTGCCCTGGGGTGGAGTTTGTCCTACTAGGCCAGCACAGCCCAAGCATTCAGTCTGCTCCATCTGGATCTGTTTGTGCCCAGATCCATTCTGACAGCAGAAACTGGTGGGGCTGGACAGCCCAGCTCTGCCATGGCTCAGCAGATGGGGCCCTGGCCCCTTACCTGCTGCCCAGCCTCAGGCTGGGGCCCTTGGTCCTGGCTGCTCGCCTCAGCCTCCTGTGGAGCAACACCAGCTCAGGGCACACCCAGTGCCAGGCACGGCGTGTCCCTGCCCCTTGTCAGCCCACGGTGTGGCTGGAGCATCCCCTGATGGCTGCAAACCTCCCCTTGGCATGGGGACAGCACTGCCAGGGAGCAAAAGCACTCCCCTTTGCTGCAGTGTGTGTGGTAGGGGGATACAGCCTCCCAACCACCCCACAGCCCCCCAGGTTGGTTAGCAACTGCCCAGATGTCCAGCTGGGGCTTGGACTGGTGAGCAGCAGGGTGGGAGGGATTTTAGAATCCACGACACCCAACAGCACAGCCTGTGCTGTCCCCCCCAGCACCATCCCCATCCCTGCTTGGACACCCCACCCCTGTGTGCTCCCTGCTGGCCTCACTCACCTATAGAAGTTCCTGTTGACTTTTTTCTCTGCAGGGAATCCCATCATGCCGCAGACCACGCGGCTGTTGTGGCTGTCCCAGCCCTGGTCGCAGATCTGTGCCCAGCTGTCCTTGTAGCGCACCTCCACGATGCCCTCTGTCACCGGCAGCTGCCGCCGCCCCCCGGACACCACCGGCCGCAGCCGCACCTCCTCCAGGTGGCTCTGCTCCGTCTGCGGGGAGCGGGTCAGCCCCGGCTCACATTTCATCCCATCGCCCCTCCTCCTGCCTGCCCACCCCCAGGGAATCTCCACGGATGAAGGAGAGGGGTCCCCAGACACAGGCGGGACACAGGGACAGCCAGTCCTGATGGCCCTGGGCAGCCAAAGATTGAGCCTCGTGCAGAGAGGAGCTCAGAGCCTCTTGTCCCCTTGGGTCCCCAGGTGCATCTCCGGGGAGCACAACCAGGAAAGCCAGTGCTGCTTTCCTGCACTCCCAGGGAGAGATCCCAGACTGCCCCACACCCAGGGTGCTCTGTGGCATCCTGGATGTCACCAGCTGCTCTGGCCAGCTCAGCAGCCCCCTCACCTCGATGATATTGGAGTCCTTAAAGCCTGGGATGCGTTCATCCTTGCAGACCACACCTGCATCCTCCTCGTGGCTGCAGTCGCTGTTCCCCCAGCCCCGGTGTTTGCAGTCCCCGATGCTCTTCTCGTTTCCAGCACAATTCACATTGTCCAGCCAGATCCGCCCTGCCAGACACAGCCTGGGGGTGAGGGGGAGCCAAGCATCCCCTGGGAGCAGGGAATGTGCCCAGGGGCATGGCCAGGGATCACACAGGTTACAGCAGGAGCTGTAGCACAAAGCTGAGGCCATTGAAATGCCAGGAGTGAAGTTTTGGGTGGCATTCACATTCCCTGAACGTGATTCCTTCACCCAGGGTTTTTCTCCTGGGAAGCTGAAAGGCAGCAAGAGAGGCCTCAGAGAAAAGGAAAACAATTCTGATCTCATTTGCTTCTCCTGTGTTGTGCTCATGTGGAATGTGTTTGGAGATTGTTTACCCACAGGTGATTGTTTCATTGGATTCTGCTGTGAGTTGTTTTCACTCCTTGGCCAATCAGGGCCAAGCTGTGTCGAGACTCTGGAGAGAGTCAGGAGTTTTCATTATTATCTTTTTAGCATTCTGTAAGAATCCTTTCTGTATTCTTTAGTATAGTATAGTACAGTATAGTATAAATATTCTTTAATATAATATGGTATAATAAAGTAATAAATTAGCCTTCTGATAAGATGGAGTCAGATGCACCATCTCTCTCTTTGTCAAGGTTGCCTGAATTTACAATAGTTCTGGGTGGGTGTCTGCAGAAGAGGAGCATCCACCTCTCTAAGGGGCTGCTCTGCCACACAGAAAGCTCCCACACGTGCACAGCTGAGCACACAATCACTGCCAGGGACTCTGCAAACACAGAACCTGCCCCTTGCAGACCGGTGGGGGCTGTGCCAGGGGGATGCTGTGCCCACCACCCCTCTCTTACCGTGCACACCTGAGCACACAATCACTGCCAGGTGCTCTGCAAACACAGACCCTGCCCCTTGCAGACCTGTCAGAGCTGTGCCAGGGGGTGCTGTGCCCACCACCCCTCTCTTACCGACTCCTTTGCCGTACTTGGCGCTGTGTGCCCAGCCAGTGGCAGCCACGAAGCCGAGGTGGCGGCACAGCACGTGCGCGTTGCCCAGCGTGAAGTCGTCGTCGCAGATGGTGCCCCACTCGTCGTTGTAGAAGATCTCCACGCGCCCCTCGTTGTGCTTGCGGGGGTACCCGGCCAGGCGGAACCTCAGCTGGGGCCCGGGGGGCTGCGTGGGGCCCGGGGGGGTGGGCTGGGCACTGCCCACCCGCAGCCAGGCGCTGCCCAGCACCACCAGCAGCACCAGCAGCTCTGGCCATGCCCATGTGCTGCAGCCTCCCATGGCTGTGCGGCCCTGCAGGGGTAGGCAGGGTCAGGGTTGTGCTGCAACACCATCCCACCCCCATCCATTCCCTCCCATGCATCCCCTCCATCCAGCCCCTCTGCCCAGTTCTGTGCTGGTTAAACCCCCTCCCCACCAGCAGCACAGCCACGTGTGTAGGAGTGTCGGGGGGTAGGGATGGTCAGGATGGATGGAGACGAAAGATGTCTGCAGCCAGGTTGTGGAACTTGGGGTTTATTGCAGAGGGCCTGGGTGCAGGCCCTGCTGGGAGCTGCCAGGCACAGCTCAGAGCAGGCCTGAGAGGAGAGAGGGGTAGAGAGGATGAGAGGGTAAGAGAGTAGAAAGGGTAAGAGAACAAAAAGGGTAAGAGAGTGAGGTTCCTGTTACAATACAATAAATCTTCTTCTGTGCTGAATATTCTAATTCTCACTAAGTAATTTAGTACAATATACAAATCCTATAGCATTTCCATACAGCCTATAAGAATCATTACATTACTACACTGTGTTACATTTTAAACCCTAAAAACTCCTCTTTGGGCCCCTTCTGCCAAGCTGTAGGGTCTGCTCTGACCCTGTGACCTGTCTGCAAGCAGAGGGTATTGTTCCCTCAAAAGGGGATTACCTTCAGTCTGCCACACCATTGTTTTCCAGTTGTTCAGTAACTGAGGTATCTCAAAGCTTGCTTTCATTTCAATCTCACTTATAGTTTCTATATTCTCAAAATCTTTTGCCAGGCAATCATATTTATAAGGCTTTCCTGTTTCATCTTCCCCAACACACGTGCCTGGCCAGAGTGCCCCTAACACACAGCCCCTGCACCCCTGGGGCTGTCAGGGACCTGCCCAGTGCCCCTGTCCCCCTCTGCCAGCAGCCCCCACCGTGCTGTCTGATCACACCCCGAGGGCAGCGAGGGCAGATGGGCACAGGGGTGTGCCCAGGAGACGTGAATGGAAGGAGGGGATGAGCTGCCAGAGCTGAGGGAGCTGGAACAGGCTCAGGGCACAGGGAAAGCCCGGCTAGAGCAGCCAGGAGCTCAATCCAGCAGGAGCAGGGAATGGCTGCTGGCTGAGGGGATTCCAGCCCACGCTCCTGCCCTCCCTTCCATGACGAGCGAGGCAGCCGGAGCATTCGCATTCCTCTGACAATATTTGTGGCTCCCCGAATACCTGAGGGAGATGTGGTATTCCTGTACCAGTCCCACGGCAGACAATAGTGAAAACCCTTCTCTGTGAGCTGCTCTCCCTTCCCAGTGTGTTATTCCCATGGATCCTGTAGCTCAGGAGCAGCATTTCTGCACGGGGGGTGTTAACAAGCTCTGATTGTGCCACCATCCCTGCCAGCCCCTGCCATGATAGGAAAGCATTCCCCCAAAACACCCCCAGGGAAGCCCCCCAGAAGGATATTTCTGTCTCCAAGTCCCCCTGAGCACAGATCCTGCCTGCTGCACTCACACAGACCACGCTTGCCATTAGAAAACATTAAAAAAAAACAAGTTTGGGCTTTCCTGGGGTGATTTAAATTTCCTGTATTTAGCTGCAGTGTCACAGAGAAAGGGAAACAAATTCAAACCCCATGCAGAGCTGGGGGCTGGCACAGCTGCTCCACCTCCCCACCAGCCTCCAGGGCAGGGTTTTCACAGAGGAATCAGCCCCATTCCTGCTTGGTTCACTTTTCCACATGATGAGGACCTGCTCCACACTCCAGCCTCTTGAGAACGCCTCCTGGACCAAAGCAGGGATGGACCAGGATGGTGCCCAGTGCCAGCCCCTCTGCCACACCCAAAACACCAACACAAGCCTCCACAGGGCCCAGCCCTGCTGCCTGCCCACCCCTTTGGGCACATGTGACATTGGAGGTGCCACCAGGAGCAGTGAGAACCTCGGGATGAGCCTGCAGAGATGCCCAGGAAGAGAGTGAGGAGTAACAAGGACCGGCACTGCTGGTCCAGTTCCACAGCAGACACAGTGGTGGCAATGACTGGATGTGGCACTGAGCACTCTGCTCTGGCTCACAAGGTGGGGATTGGTCACAGGTTGGACTTGGTGGCCCTGAGGTCTTTTCCAACCCTGTAATTCTGTGAAGCACATCAGCTCCCTTGAAGCAACCACATCAGTGTGAGTCTGGCTCTCTCCTCTGTCACAACTGGGGACACCACAGAGCTGGTGGGGACATGGCCCAGGCAGCTGGGCTTGGTGGGAGCCAGTCTGGGCTCCTGGTGCCTCAGCTGCCCGCTCTGGCACTGCCAGAGCTCAGCAGGACGTGTGCTTGTGGGCAGACAGCAGGGAAATGCTCTGCTGAACCTTTTACCCAGCCAGCAGCAAGGGAGGGAGGGTGCAAAGGGCCACCCCAGTCCTGCCAGTGGCTCAGGAATGGGAATTTCTTAGGAAAATGGGAATTGTCCATCCTCATCTCTACACTGGCTGGGAAGCAGAGAAGGGATGAGCTTGCCATCTCACAGCAGGAACAAAACTTCTTTTTCCAGCCCTGGGTCAGCGAGGGGACGCTGCCCTGCCCAGAGGAAGGGCTGCAAACCCTCAGAGCTGTCCTGACACACAGTGTGAGCCCCTCAGTGCTAACCACAGCACACCTTGGGGTGTGTTTCCTTAGGAACTGGAGCTTCCCCAGCGCTCCTGAGCGAGCAGGATGCTCTGCTGTGGAACTGGGCACTTTCACAACGGGGTCAGTACAACCCTGAAGGACACAATTAATGCCAATCTCCACGGTCTGGCAGAAATAGCCCGTGTCAGGAAGTGGGAATGGCCTTTTATGAGATCACAGGCCCTGTTAATTGGAGTAACTGTGTTGATACAACAGGCTGAGACTGGAAGGCATTCGATTCATCTTGCACCACCTTTTAATGAATAATTAGCACTCAACAAAACCAGTGCACCTTCAGCTAAGTGGATTAAAACTGGTCACCTGCTGGAACTAAAATGTGGTTACATGGGGAAGTCACAGCTCTGTGGGCTTTCTGGTGAGGATCACATGTCTTTCAAAGCAAAACTGTGCCAGGAGGAGGAAAAAAAGCACCTTCCTGGTACAGACTGCAGAGAGAGAAATGGGGGAATCAGAGATGGCGATAGGGACAGCCTGGTAAATCAGCATGGTGCAGCCTACATCCTTGGCTACACGGAAAATTAAAATCTGTGCATTCACAAGCAAAACAGAGAGGACCAGAACATGGCACCTGAAAAGTGCTTGGGCTTTGTGCAGCAAATCATTGACTCCCCTCTGAGCCTCAGCAGTGTGACCTCAGGGTCTGTAATCCCTGCTCCTGGGTCCTGCTCCAGCTCTGCTCCAGCATCTCTTATCCCACTGTGCTTCCTCTGCCTTGGCTCCTCAGCTCTGCCACTCACCTCAGAGTTTCCCAGTGACATTCCAGCTGTGCTCTGTGGGCCCAAAGCCTTTTCCATGGCCAGCCCAGCCCTGCCATGTGAGCTCCCTGCAGCCCAGCACGGCTCCATGCCCGTTCCTGCAGCACCTCCCTCCCTCTCTGAACACGCTCCGTGCCCGTGTCCATGTCCTGGGCAGCCAGGCTAACAGGGCTCTCATTGTCCACAGCACTTTTTCCACCTCCTAGGCACAAGCTGTGAGTTTGCTCCTCTCCTGCTGCTCTGCTGCTTGTTCTGCTCGCAGGCTTTGCTCTGAATGGGCAGCCCACCCCAGCATCCCAACCAAGCACCCTGCTGTCAGCTCCAGCCTGGGACAGTGTCCCCTTGGACCACTCTGCATGTGCTTGTGGCACTCTGGATGTGATTATGGCACTCTGGATGTGCTTGTGGCACTCTGGATGTGGTGCCCCAGGCACAGGCGCTCAGCAGAACTCCACAGTGAGGGTAAAGGGCCCTGCAGGATGGGCTGGCTGGGCGTGGGAGCTGGGAAGCAGCCCAGGTCCTTGCCACTGCCCAGGAAACCTCAGGAATGTCCCAGCCGGGTGTGCACGAGGCCCTGGGCCACATCCCAGCCTGCAGCACAGCTGGAGCTGCTGGTGGGGTGTCTGAGAGTACTGCAGAGCCAAAATCCTGGGGTTCTCTCCAGTCCTCAGCCTCAGCCCTGCTCTGCTGAGGCTGGCATGGGTGAAAGGGCCCTTCAGGGCAGGGGACAGCCCCACATGGCAGCAGGAGCCATGACCCTGCTCAAACTGCTCCCATGCCAGCCCACTGGTGCTGCTTGTCCCAGTGGGTGATGGATCAGAGGACAGAGTCACCCTGACAGGTGACTTACAGCCAGGCACTGTCCCCATCACTGCCCTGCATCTTGCAGAGGGGCTGCCCCTTCCAGGACTGTCCAAACCATGTGTGTCCTTCAGCACTCACAGGGCACACAGCAGGACAACAGCCTGCCCCACCAAAACCCCAGTGAACAGCCAACAGAGCCAGGAAGGGGCAGCTCCTGCTGAGGCAGATCCATGGGTTTGATCAGCACAGGGCATCCCTGCAGTACAGGGATGACATCCCAAGCCTCAGCAGCAGGGAAAGGCCAGGCCACTGAGTCCCCTCAGGGATGTGCTCGCCCAGCAGCAGCCTTGGACACACCCACGGGGGACATGGAGCATCCCAGGCACTGACAACTGGGAGGACTCAGAGAAGAGCAGCACTGGGAAAGCCGCCAGCACAAGGGAGAGGAAGCTCGCTCTGTTTATCCTTCCTTGAGAAGGTTAAGGGGTGACACAGCCACTATCTGTTGATGTCCCATGCCGGGACATCCCTGAGAGCATGGGGTCAGGAGAAGGTCTGGTGAGTCCCATGCCTTCAGGGCTCCATCCCTCCCGTTCTCCCCAGGGCCCCTCGCACACACACACACACACACACACACGGCCCTTTCGCAATCCCTCCTGCTCCTCTTTTCCCACTTCCCGGCAGCCCTGGAGAGCTGGGAGCAAATGTGCACAAAGCAGGGGAGCCCTGACACCCCCACCCTGCTCAGGAGGGGACCTGACATGGGTCAGAGCTCCGGGGTCTGGAAGGGCACATGGTGCCACAGACTGGTCACAGAAGCAGCCCAGGGTCACCATAGGAGTCTGGATTCCCTGGCAGGATTGGTGTCAGTCCCAAAACTACAACGTCGTGTGGCTGGGAGCTCACTACCCCTCTCTGCCCACCCACCGTGTGTCCCCATCCCAGGCAAGGACAGGGACCCTGCTGCAGAAAGGGACAAAACACTGTGTGGGGCTGGGGCTGCACTTCTCTGACAACTCCAGGTCCACTCCCTTTGGGCTACCTGATGTCCCCACGTCCTGCTGTCTCCCCCTATTTCAGGACAGGTCCCAGCACAGCTCCTACCCCCTCCCAGCCCCCCCAGGACACAGCAGGGCCCTCAGCAGAGCTCTGCCCGCTCTGCTCTGAGCTGCCCGGGCTCGGGAGAGGCAGCCCTGGAGGAACCGGCTGCCGGCAGGAGGGAAAGCCCTCGGAGGAATGCGCAAACATCGGCCATCCCCAGGGGCAGAGGGGCGGGCAGGGGGCTGGGGGCTGTGGGGTTTGTGCCCCAGACACCCTGGAGCAGGGAACCAGCCTTCCTGGACCTGCTGGGGACGGCACCGGCTCAGCTGCGGGCTCCTGAGAGCGGCAGGGAGGGCGAAAAGCCAGCCGAGAAGAATCATCCCTTCCAGCCCTCCCGCCCCACATCCCTCCATCCATCCTCTCCTTCCATGAGCTACAGCATGTCCGCTCCTCATGGAAATCCTGACACTCAGGATTTCCATGTGTAACCTGCTGCTCTGCCCGCAGCCCGCACGCTTTAGGGCGCGGTACAACCCCAAAACCCGCCGGGCTCCGCTTCCCGTGGGACACCCGCGCTGCCCGCCCCGCTCCGGTCCCGCACGGCCCACGGCAGCTCTGGCACGGCACGGCACGGACACGGCATCGCCGCCCTCAGCCCCGCACCCGGGACACCCCCGAGGCGCCCCGGCCCCGCAAGGCGCAGCCCCCGCCGCTCCCGGGACAGCCGGGGCCCGCGCGGTACCTCAGGGGTGCCGAACCGAGCCGAACCGTGCCGTGCCGAACCGAGCACAACCGAGCCGAACCGAGCCGTACCAAGTCCTGCAGTGCCGTACCGAACTGAGCCGTGCCGAGCCGAGCCGTGCAGTGCCGTATCGTGTCCTGCCGTGCCGTGCCGAGCCGAGCAATTTCGCTCGGTGCCGCCGCGCTCCGCCCCGGCCCGCCCCGCGCCGTGCCCGTGGCCGTGTCCGGGGCCGCCCCGGCCCGCTCCGAGCGGCCCCGGCCCCGCCGCCGGCACGGCCCGGACGGGCCCGACCCGCCGCCCCGCCATGGGGCCGGCTCCAGCCCCCGCCCCGGCCGGGCTCGGCTCCAGGCCCGGCCCCGGCCCCCCGGCACGGAGCTGCCCGGCCGCTCATGGAGCCGCCAGTCGAGCCCCCGCTCCCGGAGTTTTGGCCGTCCCGACCCCACCCAGCCCTCTCCTCACCCCGGGCAAGAGAGGGAAGCAGCCAGGAATAGTTCAGCCCTGAGTGCCCTTTTGCAGAGGCTGCAGTGGGGTGGATGGACAGATCCCCCCCTGGGTCATCCTGCCTGTCCTGGGCAGGCTGCGGTCCCCAGACCCCCCGAGCCCGGGGGTCCCATCCTGCAGGAAAGCCCTGCAGGGTTGGGGCTGTGAGCTCACACTGCCTGCGGCTGGAGGCTGGGAGCAGCTGGGATTTGTGGGGAGCTGCTTTGTTTGAGGGGACACAGGACCGACTGCAGCACAGCCAGTGTGAGATATGTGAGAGTGAGGGTGTGACAGGGATGTGCTGGCACCCCAACACCTTCCCCCAAGAAACGAGCCATGGTGAGAGCCCAGCAAACGCTTTATTGCCAAGGACAGCGCTTCCCTCAGGCCCCAGGCACAAAAAGATAGACTGCCCCGCCGCATCCCAAACCAGATCAGTCCATACAGACAAGCAGGTCCTCAGTGCCGAGAGCCAGCCCCAGCACCGGCTGCCCAGTCTCAGGCCACACGGGGGATGGAGAGAGCTGGGCAGCCCAGCCTGCATGACAGGGACACTCCTGTGGCACTAAGGCACCGTGCTGTGCCCCAGGACCACAAACCCAAACACTGCTCGCGAGCTCCTGCAGGCCTGAAGCTCCCCAGCAAAGGTGCAGGGTACCCAGCAAACATTTGGGGTGGCACAGAGCTGGCCAAATCCCATGAGCAGCAGAAATAGCTCTCTGCTACCCAGGTGCCTCACAGCCCTGCACACATCCCAGTGACATCCTGCTCGCCCCCATGTCACCTCTCATGTGTACCTGGCCTGCTCCAGGTGCCCCTCTGCTCCCGCTTGCTCAGGCTGATGCTGTGTGGGATGGGGGGCTCAGCCTGGCCTGGGGCACTGCCTCCCTGTGCCCTGTCATCAGAGGAGTCGTCCCAGGAGCTGAGAGCCGGGAGAGCTGCCCCAGGCCACCGGCAGGGCGACAAAGCCCAGCTTGCTGTAGAAGCTCAGCTGCTGCCTGTCGGAGTCACTGACCTGGCAGAACACTCCCCGTGAGCCTGGAAGGGAAGTGAGGGTCAGGGCACTGGGACTGGGGACACAGTGACAGTGACCCCCTCCATAAGGGAATCAGTCTCTCCCTGGCCCCTTTATCACAGAGTGATGCCCTGAGACACAGGCCCGCATGTCCCCAGTGCAAGGGGAGGGGACAGTGCCCGGGAGCGCTGGCAGGGGACAGCTCCCAGCGCTCGGATGAAGGGCAGCACTCGGAGGTCATGCTCACCATTGGCCCTGAGTGCACTCAGCAGGCAGAGGGCCAGGCTGCGACTGGCCCCCACATCCAGCACACGGGGGGCCGTGCCCAGCTGTACCAGGGAGGGGAAACGCCTCAGCACGGGCTGGGGCACTGCCAGGGGCTCTGCGTGGAAGAAGAGCACTGCTTCCTCCAGGGCGTCCTGCAGGAGACAAGCACAATGAGGGAACCCCCTCCACCTCTCCTATCCCCGCTCCAGGTGTCCCCTCACCTGTCCCAGAGCTGCCCCCCCTGTGCCCAGCTCTGGGGGGTACTTGTGCCTTATGGCTGGCAGCCAGCTGCTGTCTCGCTGCTGCAGGAAGCCTTCGGCATGGAGTGCTCCGGCTGCGTAGCCACAGGGGCCATCCTCATCCTCCAGCACAAAGGTGTACTCAGGGCTCAGGCTGAGGAAGCTGCCCAGGAGCCTGCCAGGGAGAGGGGGAGCATGGCTGAGCTGAGCCTGGAGCACCTGGGAAACCTCAGAGCAGCCTCCCTCTTCATTCCCCAGCTGGACAGCACACCCAGCACCCAGTGAGCACCCCTCTGAGACCCCTCAGCCAAGGGGAACCATTGCAGCCTCCCTCTTCATTCCCCAGCTGGACAGCACACCCAGCACCCAGTGAGCACCCCTCTGAGACCCCTCAGCCAAGGGGAACCATTGCAGCCTCCCTCTTCATTCCCCAGCTGCACAGCACACCCAGCACCCAGTGAGCACCCCTCTGAGACCCCTCAGCCAAGGGGAACCATTGCAGCCTCCCTCTTCATTCCCCAGCTGCACAGCACACCCAGCACCCACTGATCACCCCTCTGAGACCCCTCAGCCAAGGGGAACCATTGCAGCCTCCAGCACCCAGGCTGGACATCCATGTCCCTCCCTGTCCCTCCCAGTGAGGCCACTGCCAGCCATGGGGCAGTGCTGGTCCCCACAGGGACACCAAGAGAGGCCATCTCCTCACTCCCCAGCCCTGCACCATGTCCAGGAGGGAGCCTCAGAGGGGCCACATCTCACCTGTCACCGAGGAGATCCGGGTGGGCCACAAGGATCTCTGCCACTTTGGGATCACAGTCCAGACTCTCCCGGCACATGCGGTAAAGCTCTCCCTGGAAGAGCCAGATCCGTGTCAGCCCTGGCTGTACCTGCCATGCCACAGTGCCACCACCTTCTGCTGGCCTTGGGCTTGTGGCCACAGCGCAGGCAGCCTTCAAACCAGAAATTGCCATTGCGGTCAGGCATCCCAAGAGCAGCTGCTGGAGCACCAAAAACAACCCTGAAACTCAGGTCTCCAGAGAGCCTGAGCACAGCAGGACATCCCCAAATGTCCTGTCCTGGTCACAGTTGAGTTTGCTGCTGCAAACATTCTGATAAAAGCCTTGTTCCTGAAAGGGGAGGCTGCCCTGATCACCCAAAAACAGAGGCAGGGCCATGCCCTGCTGTGCCTGTTCCTGCCACGGGCTGATGGGCTCAGCTGGCTCTTCCTCTCAACAATGTTGTTGTCAAGGTTCAGCCCAAGCAAATGAGCTGCACTCGTGTCTGTGCTGGCTGGATTTGTGGTGTTAGCCTTTCCTTGAGCTGGACAGGAGCAGGGTGAGGGACAGGGGTGCTCACTGCAGGGAAACCTTGAACATTTTGTCCCTCCATATCCAGATTCTCCCCTTCCCTCCCTGTCCCATCAAGGGATGTCAGAGCAGAGCTGGCACAAGCAGGTCACAGCTGTCAGAAGCTGATGCTCTCCATCAGGGAATCACCCCATAAACTGGATGAGTGTTTGAAGAAGGCATTTGGAGATGGATCCCCACAGGCTCTGGCAGTGCCCTGAGCTGCAGACTGGTGAAGGCTGCAGGAAGTTGCCATCCACACTTGTCCTATTCTGGATTTTTCCTGGCATCTGCTCACAGCCAGTCTTGGAGATCAGCACTGCGGCTGCTCTGGAGATAATCCACAGCCTGGCAAATCTGCCCTGTGCTGGTTTATCCATGGCTGAGGGGGTTCCCTCTCCTGCTGTGCCCAGGCCCCTGTCAGAGAGGTGGATTTGCTGAGGCCACAGCACATTCTCCAAGGCAGTGTCTGACATGCTGCTGACCACAGCCCCAAAACCTGCCCTGGACCAGCTGGCTCTGAGCAGAGCTGGACAGAGGGACCCACCCCACACTGGGAACTCAGCCTGGGGGCTCAGCAGCAGATGAACATGTAACTCATAATTTTATGGGCAGAACAAGCCACACAAAGGCTCTGGCAGGAGCCCCCTCCATGCCACAGCTCCCACCTTGTCCAGGGGCAGCAGCGGGCGCAGCAGGTACAGCTGGCTGGATGGGAAGAGCGGGGGAGGATGGTAGAAGAGGTCACAGCTGTTCCCCACGGGCAGCAATGCCTGGAAGAGATACAGCCCATCAGTTCATCCTGGCTCCAAACCCCATCCTGGAAGCAGCAGGAGAACGGCTCTGAGGCTCCTGAAACCCCAGGAACCACAGCTGAGGTTGCAGAGGCAGCTCTGCCTTCCTGAGGCTGCAGCAGCTCAGCAGGGTTGGGATGGTGACTTCCCAAAGGCTCCTCAGCCCCACAGGGAGGGAGGGAGGGAGCCACTCTCACCTGCAGCTCTCCAAAGAGGCCCCCACGGCGTGCCCAGGGCTCGGCGTCCCTCCCCAGCAGCATCGGGGCACTGATGCTCTGGCACCCTGGAAGCAGCAGGACACAGACACACCTGAGGTGAACAAAAAGCTGCTGGGCAGGGGGAGATCAGCCTCTGCCACAGCTCCAAGGAGCTGCTCCCCAGCTGTGCAGCCCAGGATGGTGAGAATGTGCCCTGCATGCTGCTTCCCTAAGGAAAGGGATCAAGGCACATGGATCCCTCTCACACTGAACTTGGGGACCTGCTCAGGTCATCACCTGGGAACAGTTCTTGCTTTGTAAGAGGTCACAAGGCTCACAGAGCAACCAGGGAGCCCCAAACCAGAGGAAAGCTGTGCAAAGTGATGCACAGGCATTCAAAACACAGCCCCACCTCTCACCCGGGGCATCAGCCCCACCTCTCACCCAGGGCATTGCTGCTTCCAGAAGCCTTTTCCCACACAGGGTAAGGGGTCTCTGGGATAAAAGGTCTGAGGAACCATATCCTAGAAATGTCTGTGAGATATGGTGAAGATCTGCTCCCTCCCTGGCAGCATTCCCAGGGCCATTCCTGCAGGCAGAGTGGGGAAGGATAGCCTGATGCCTGTGGCACTCACATTCTCTGAACAGAGAGAGAGATAATTCTCTCACACAGTTTTTTTCCTGGAGAAGCACAGAGAGAAGAAGAGAAAACAATTCTTAGCAGAATCCAATTACCAAATCCCTTCAGGTAAATAATCTCCCTAACACATTCCACATGTGCAAAAACAACGGGAGCAGCAAGTAGAGCTGAGAATTGTTTTCTCTTCTCTCTGTGCTTCTCCAGGAAAAAAAAAAAAACAACAAACTGTGAGAGAGAATTATCTCTCTCTCTCTGTTCAGAGAATGCGAATGCCACAGATGGTGAGTGCTGGGTGCTGCTGTGGGGCTGGAGGTGATGGGGGGCAGCAGCCAGACCCCCAGCCAGGTGGGTGAGCCAGGGCAGTGCCCATACTTACAGCCAAAGCAGCTCCCCCAGGTGCCCTTGGGGTCAGGGTCGCACAGGAGGTGACCATCTGCAAAGGAGGCAAGCAGAGGACAAGGGTCAGCAGCAGAAAATGCCAAGGGGAGGTGAGCTCTCAGGAGGGACCCTGGCACTACCAGCTGCACATCAGAACCCCAAATCTCTGGGCTGGGTCCCAGACACCTTCACCTGCTTCTTGGGGAAGAGAGCAAGCTCCAGGTGTGCCCCTGTGCTGCAGGGTCCTGGTGCTCTGATGGAACCCCACATTTCTCTTCACAGAGAAAAGCAAGGCACAGTTCTTCCCAAGAATATTCTTATTTGCTGTGCCTGTGTTTGTGCCAAAGTAGAATGCAATATGGAGATTGTTTACCCAGAGTGATGGTGTTTTGTTTCCTTGGCCTATCAGGGCCAGGTGTGTGTGTGTGTGTTGGGTGACAGTCACGAGATTCTGTGCAGGGTTGGGTGCTGGGCAGATTCAGTTTAGATGTAATGTAATAAAGTATAGAATAGTACAATATAATAAAGTAATTAATTAGACTTCTGATAAGGTGGAGTCAGGTGCATCATTTCTCTCCCCTTGTTGGGGGTTGCCTGCAAATACTCTGCTCTGACATGGCTGGGTTTGGATAGGTGTGATGGGGCTGGCAGGACTGGCATCAGCCACGTGTAGGGGGATAAGAATATAAGAAAATAAAGATAGAGTAGAAAGTAATCTTACTCCTAAGGAGTTGCAGCTGGGCCAATTATCAAAGATTAGGAGCAGGGCCTGACTTTAAGCTGTAACCCATGAGAAGAAGAGTGCGATAAAAGAGTGGGGTGGGTGGGTGAGAAGGAACTGGAGTAGGTGATTTTGTGAGGAAGAGTTAGTGCTCCGAGGAGCTACCCATGAGAAACACCAAGAAGGGATGAAACTTTTGTTGGGTGACAGTCACGAGATTCTGTGCAGGGTTGGGTGCTGGGCAGATTCAGTTTAGATGTAATGTAATATAATGTAATATAGTATAGAATAATATAAGAAAGTAATTAATTAGCCTTCTGATAACGTGGAGTCTTCTTCATCATTTGTTGGGGGCTGCCTACAAATAGCCTACTCTGACAGGGTTGGGTTTGGATAGGTGTGATGGGGCTGGCAGGGATGGCAGGGATGGCATCAGGCACGTACCCAGCCAGAGGACGAAGGCACTGGCAGCCAGCAGCAGGTTTCGGATGTCCCACAGGTAGGGGTGCAGGTCGTAGAGCAGCGCCCGGCCGGCCGTGCTGACCAGGCGGCTGTGCAGGCGGCACGTCCGTGCGCAGAGCCGCTGGAAGGAGCGAGCCTGGCCCCGCCACCGCGTGCCCTGGGGACACACACAGCCTGTCAGGCACCTGGGGGACACCTGAGCCGGATTGCAATGCAAGATGTTTTCTATTGCCATCTGTATGGCAGGTTATCTTTTGTCAAGTGGGCAGTTTGCCTTATCTCTCTCTTTGAGTGACCACAATCACCTTTGTCTTATCTCTCTCTTTGAGTGACCACACCCACTCCTCCCTTGGGAGGGGACATCTGCTGATAACAGCTTATTGAATGTCCCTGCATGGCTGATAAGAACTACAGCATCCCATTGGGAGATGTGAGCCCAGGGGGAGGAGCCAAGCATTCCTACCCAGATATAATCCAGAGGTTTTGAGACACCAGCACAACTTCTCCACTGGATTCCCCAGAGGAACAGCAGCTGTCTCTTCTTCCACTGGATCTTCAGAGGAAGAATACACCCTTTTCTACAGGACCCCCTTGCTCCAACAGAACCACACCTGACACTTCAGGAGGGCTGCACCCACATTTCCTATTGGACTGCTACCAACACCCTGACCCACAGGGTGTCAGGTTGGGTTCTGATTCTGTCAGTGTTGTTCTGGTGTACTGCATTGTTTATTTTATCCTTTTATTTTTTTTCTTCCCTATTAAAGAACTGTTATTTCCTGCTCCCATATTTTTGCCTCCTTAATTTAAAATTTAGAGCAATTTGGAGGGGTGGGGAGGGTTTACATTCTCCATTTCAGGGGAAGCTCCTGCCTTCCTTAGCAGACCCCTGTCTTTCCAAACCAAGACAACACCCCAGCCATGGCAGAGACCTTCCAGGAGCAGCCTTACCCCGCAGGCATCAGGAGCTGTGGCCGGGACCCCCACGCTGAGGCTGTTGGCTCGCAGCCACCGAAAGTGCTCCAGGAGCTGCTGTGCCAGAGCCCCGTGCTGGTAGGGCAGGTAGAAGAGCTCCACCAGCATCCGCACCTCCTCCAGGGTCAGGGGTGATGTGGGGCTGGGCACCGCCTCCTCTGGGCTCAGTGGTGCTGTGGGGTGGGGTCTGGCCTCCTTTGGGGTCATTGGTGCCATGGGGTCAGGCTCAGCCTCTTCTGGGGTCATCAGTGCTGTGAGGGTGGTCCTGGCCTCCTCTGGGGTCACCTGGGATGTGGGGCTGGCCCTGGCCTCCTCTGGGGTCACCTGGGATGTGGGGCTGGCCCTGGCCTCCTCTGGGCTCACCTGGGATGTGGGGTTGGTCCTGGCCTTCTCTGGGGTCACCTGGGATGTGGGGCTGGTCCTGGCCTCCTTGGGGGTCATGGGGACAGACCCAGCCTCTTCTGGGGTCACCTGGGATGTGGGGCCAGACCCAGCCTCTTCTGGGGTCACCTGGGATGTGGGGCCAGACCCAGCCTCTTCTGGGGTCACCTGGGATGTGGGGCTGGTCCTGGCCTCCTTGGGAGTCATGGGGCCAGACTCAGCCTTCTTTGGGGTTACCTGTGATGGGGGGCTGGTCCTGGCCCCTTTAAGGGTCATGGGGCCAGATTCAGCCTTCTCTGGGGTCACTGGTGCTATGGGGCTGGTCCTGGGCTCCTCTGGGGTCATCTTTGCTGTGGGGCTGGTCCTGGCATCTTTGGGGGTTATGGGGCCAGGCCCAGCCTCCTCTGGGGTCACTGGTGCCATGGGATCAGGGCCAGCACCAACCTCATCAGTCAGTGGGGCTGGGGCACCAGGGCTGGCACCATTCCCAGGTCCTGGGGGTGTCTGGGGCACATCAGTCCTGATGGCCTCAGGCTGGGTGCTGCTGGGAGAGTGGATGGGGCTGCCATCCCCTGTCCTGGCATCACTGGTGGGCAGGGAAATGTTCTGATTGGTGTTGGCCCCACTGCTGGAGCTCCTGGTGGGGCTGGGGAGGGTCTTGGTGGCCACTGGGGTTGCTGCAGACTGGGCACTCCCAGCCACACTGGGCAGAGCAGAGGGGGGCTCACAGCTCCCTGTGGTGGGGAGCTGGTCCCCAGCCCTTGTAGGGCTCTGCTGGTGGCCACTGGGTGTCCTGGCTGAGGTCACCTCCCTGCACCCCTCCTCTGGTGCCTCTCCACAGGGCTCAGGGCTGTGCTGGTCTGCCCCACCAGGAGCAGAGCTGTGGGGCTGAGGGTCAGGAGTGGCCTCCTGTCCTCCTGCTGTGCCAGGCTGCAGCTTTGGTCCTCCCTTGAGGCTGACACTGGGCTGTCCTGGGGTCCTTCCTCCTGCCAGAAAGGAACAAGAGGGGGAAGCTCCTTTGGGCACCTGCATGGAAATGGGCCATGACAGTGCCAGGGACGTCAACCCCTGAGCTGCCAGGACCCTGGGCTCGAGTTCAGGCCCCTAGGGCTGCTGAGGCTGTGGCTTTGCAGAGGCAAACATTGCCAAACACCAAGCTCTTCCTCCAGCCCAGGCTCTGCTTTGGCCAGCCAAGGAAACCCTGTCCAGGCTGTGGCTGCGGCAGGAGCACCCACGGGGCAGCACAGCACACCTGCCCACCATGGCATGCATGGCCCTGCTGCCACAGCAGCCCCAGACCCTCCAGATGGGCAGGGTGGAGTTCCTCACCCCCCACTCCAGGGACTGAGGGATGCTGCTCATGCAAATCCATTTACCTGGCTCCAAGGCCTGCTGGTTTATCTCAGCCACCCAGTCACGCAGTGCCAGCTCCAAGGCTTCCTGGGGGCTGTAGCTTCCATCCTGAGCTCCTTGGCTGTCCCCCAGGGCTCCCTCCATTCCTGAGGAACTGCAGCCCATCAGCCTGGGCAGCCCTGCAGGGCTGGGCAGGCAGAGCTGCCTTAGGCACGGGTGTGAGGTACCTGCATGCTCAGGGTGGGCACAGCTCCCCAGCTCGCTCCCAAACCAGGTGCCCAGCGTGTGGATGGGGATGAAGTTGGCCTGGAGCTCACAGTTGGGGTTGAGGAGCAGCCCTTGGAGCCTGGACATGAGGCCAGGAGCTCGGCCCATGTAAGGGCCCAGGAAGACTCGTCTGCAGTCGTAGTCGTTGGCGTAGAGGTTGTCCCAGATGACGGGAGGGCGCCTCAGGACGGCCTCCACCTCCTCCAGCAGCTCTGCTGACAGCTCCTGGGACACCACCTTGGGGCCTGGGACACCAGGGAAGGGACACAGCAGGGACAAGAACATGAAGATGAGGATGTGGTCACCACAGCCACAGTGAGGAGAGCAGAGCCCCAGCTCAAAGCCCTGCACACCCCAGTGGGGTCACTGTCACTGCTGGTGGCTCTCCCAGGACAGTCTGCGGCCACATGGAGCCACATTTCTCCTCACAGAGAAAAGCAAGGCACAATTCTTCCCAAGAATATTTCTGGGTTTCACATTCTCTGAACCTCAGAGAAAGGAAAAACAATTCTTATCATTTGCTGTGCCTGTGTTTGTGCCAAAGTAGAATGCAATATGGAGATTGTTTACCCAAAGTGATGGGGTTTTGTTTCCTTGGCCTATCAGGCTAAATGTGTGTGTGTGTGTTGGGACTGAAGGATGAGATTCAGTGCAGTGGAGTGCAGCTGAGTGCTGGGCAGATTCAGTTTAGATGTAATGTGACGTAGTCTAATAATATATTATAATAAAGTAATATATAGTATTATATATTATTAATAATAATAATGTAATTACTAGATCATTATGTTATAATTATCTTATTAACTATTATTCATGCAATTATATTCATATAATATACTATAGTATATTTATAATAATATAATATATAATATATAATATATTATATAATTTATAATTTATAATTTTATATTTATATTTGTAATTTTATATTTATTTTTATATTTTATATTTATATTCTTATATGTATTACATTTATATAATTATTATTTATAATTATTATTAATTATGATAATTATTATAATTATTATGATAATTATTATATTAATTGAATATTATATAATATTATATATTACTACTGATAATATATATTACTAAAAATATATATATATATAGTCTAATAAAGTAATGAATTAGCCTTCTGATAAGGTGGAGTCCTCATCATCATTTCTCCCTGCCATGGGGCTCAGCCTGTTTTGGCAGCCACAGCCCCAGAGCTGGTCCTGGCTCACCTGTCCAGATGACAGCAATCCCTGGGAGCAGCTCCTGGCCAATGGTCTGCAGGTAGCAGGACTGGCTGGGGCTGGGAGAGCACAGGGAGCTGCAATATTCTGGGGAGAGAACACAGAGCACCCCCTGAGGGCTGGGGACCACAAGAGGAGGGACTGCTGGGATCATGGGCCAGCCCTGAGGTGGGCAGAGCTCCCCTGGGAGGGTGAGGAGGCTGGGATGGGCTGCCAGGATCATGGACTAGTCCTAGTCTAGCCCTGGGATGGCCAGAGCTCCCCTGGGAGGGTGAGGAGGCTGGGATGGGCTGCCAGGATCATGGACTAGTTCTAGTCTAGCCCTGGGATGGCCAGAGCTCCCCTGAGAGGGTGAGGAGGCTGGGATGGGCTGCCAGGATCATGGACTAGTTCTAGTCTAGCCCTGGGATGGCCAGAGCTCCCCTGGGAGGGTGAAAAGGCTGGGAAGGGCTGCTGGGATCATGGACTAGTCCTAGTCTAGCCCTGGGATGGCCAGAGCTCCCCTGGGAGGGTGAGGAGGCTGGGATGGGCTGCCAGGATCATGGGCCAGTCCTGAGGTGGCCAGAGCTCCCCTGGGTTGATGAGGAGCCCAGGGAGAGCTGTGGGGGCTGCCAGGGCACTCGGCTCTCAGCAGGAACAGGGGTGCAGCCCAAGGGCACCCCAGTGTGAGGGGGCTCCCTGCTTTGGGCAGCTGGGGCTGCAGGCAATACCTGTAGGGCAGAAGAGGAAGACTGAGGGTTGGCCCAGCTCCTGGTACACCTCGTTGGCCACAGAGGCCTGAGCCTGTGCCAGGGAGGGGAAGACATCTCTGTCAGCTTGGCACATGCAGGGGTCGATGTCGTCGAAGAGCAGCGCGAAGGAGCGGCACCCCAGGGCAGCCACCTGTGGGCACAGACAGGGGCTGCTGGGACCCCCGGGCAGCAGAGACCCCCAGGGGGCTCCACAGGGGCATCTGGGCATGGCACAGCGTGGGGCAGCTCCTGCCAAGGAAGTGGCAGCTGCCCATGGAGCAACCCCACCGTGCCAGCAGCTCTTTGCCCGCCCTGGGGCTCTGCTCCATCCTGTGCCACCCTCGGCGCTGCCCAGCAGTTTCTGGGGCTTGGCTGCTCCTTCTCCTGCCCCCAGTCAGGCACCCATGGAGCCCTCAGCTCGCTGTCACAGTGACAGGGACAGCACATTGGCCACTGGGCAGCCCAGAGCAGCAGGAGGGGCTCACAGCCCATACCAGCCCATGGGTGGGCACAGGGGGCACACATGGGCACGTGTGGGTGGGCACAGGGGGCACACATAGCACATGTGCCCCTGGCCTGGGAGCAGTGGGATGAAGGAATGGCCCACGGTACCTGCCTGAGTTTTTGCTGCAGCAGGAGGCGATCCCCAGCGCTGGAAAACACCATGTCCTGGCCAGCAGAAATGGCGAAAATCAACTCCACCCCCCGTTCCTGGGCAGCCTCGATGAGAGACCGCATGCGGGCTGGGGACAGAGCACAGGGCACCTGTGAGAGCTGGGAGGGACAGGGGAGAGGGACAAGGGATGGAGGGGGATGAGGGATGGAGGGTGAAAAGGATGGAGCAGGACAAGGGATGGACAAGGAATGAAGGGGGATAAGGGATGGAGAGGAAAAAGGGATGGAGGGGCATAAGGGATGAAGGGGAATAAAGGGAATAAAGGATGGATGGGGACAAAGGATGAAGGAGAATAAGGGATGGAATAGGACAAGGAGTGAAGGGGAATAAGGGATGGAGGGGGACAAAGGATGGACAAGGGATGGAGGGGGAAAAAGGATGGAAGGGAATAAGGGATGGAGGGGAAAAAAGGATGGAGCAGGACCAAGGGATGGAATGCAACAAGGAATGGAGGGGAATAAGGGGTGGAGGGGGACAAGGAATGGAGCAGGATCAAGGGATGGAATAGGACCAGGAATGGAGGGTACAAGGGATGGAGGGAAATAAGGGATGGAGAGAGAAAAAGGATCGAGCAGGACAAGGGATGGAGGGGAACAGGGGATGGAGCAGGACAAAGAATGAAGGGGACGGGATGGAGTGGCACAAGGGATGGAAGGAAACAAAGGATCGAGCAGGACAAGGGATGGAGCAGGACAAGGGGTGGAGGGAGAGTGATCCCCAGGATTGTGGAAGGAAGGAGCTGAGGTCACTGGGAGGGGAGAGGCTCCAGCAGGACCATTTCCACTTCCTTATGACACAGAGGACTTCTGACAAGGGTCTGTGGGCCTGGCTGTACTCAAGCACACTGCCTGAGACCCACATGAGAGGCTGCCTGGTCCCTTAGGCAATGCCCCATGGTGGGCACGCTCTGGGAGTCTTCTTGCCCTTGGCAAGGTCTGGGGGCTTCCCTGGCATGGGCAAGGTCCTGGCAGGATGGAAATAGCTGGGACACAGCCCATGCTTTCCCCTGAGGGACCTGGGATGCCTGCAGCCCCCCAGGGGCCCAGCAGAGCCGCTACCTGCCTCATGCTCTGTGTAGGGCTCTCTCCAGAGCAGCCGGTGCTTCAGCTCATCCTTGGGTGCATACATGTAGCAGTTCAGCCCTCGGTGCTGCAGCCTGGGCAGGGAGAGAAAGGAGTCAGCCAGGCTCCACATGGGCTCTTTGCACAGCCACAGGGAGACAGAGATCCCAGCCAGTGCTCCCAGAGCTGAGCTCTGATGTGGGAACCCAGGAAATTCCTCTGGCTGCCCTGGAGGGCTCCAGCCCCGGCCCAGGGGGCTCAAAGACCTTGGCACAGAGCCCAAGACCCCTGTGCCTTTGATTTAGCCCTTGGAAAAAACAATCACCAACCTTATATGAAGAATTACAAGCCATGAAAGTTTAAGTAGAATGATAGTGAATTTATCATGGGGTGAAAAAATAGATTTCTGGTGTTTTTAGCATGGGGGTTAAGGGGGCAAGATGGAGGGATCTGGGTGTGTCCAGCCTTTCTCCTTCTTCTTCTTGGCCTCCATCTTCTGCTGTGATGTTGGCACTTTTGGATTGGTTTAGAGTAGAAGCTCACTGTCTAACATAGGTGATGGGTATTGGGAAGGAACTGTAAATATTGTTTTTAGTATAAAAAGATAACACTGCCTGGGGGCAGGCAGAGTGCCTCTGTCTGACCTGCTGAATGGACCTCGGCAGGACAAGAAAAAGAATTTTATAGATAAGAAACAATAAACAACCTTGAGACCAAGAAATGAAGAGCCCTGACTCCTTCTTCGATCACCAGGCTGGGAAAAGAGACTTTGTGACACCTCAGGGTCCCTCTGAGTAGCAAGAGTCCTGAGACTCCAAGGTTTGTGTCAGACACCAGCAGGATGTGCCCCCTGGGACAGACAGGGCAGACACCTCCCTCTTTGGCACTCCTGCATGGAAGCCATCTGATATATTCATTTGGTTGTATTCATCCTCCTCAGCAGACAGTGTTTTACATTTTCCCACGGTGAACAGAACAGAAAGCACTTCAGGTATCTCCTGATAAAAGTCCCTTATGTTGTTTCTTTCTAGATAAGAAAAATACTGAGGGACATGTCACCCTCGTGTGCCACATGTGAACACATCCCAGTGCAGCACCAGGCAAGACTTTCTCATTCCTGAGCTACTATAGAACATCCCAGCTTGTTTTCCTTCCATTTCTGTATCTGTATCTCGGGGATCTGGGGATGCTCAGCCTGGAGAAAAGGAGACTCAGGGCTGCCCCCATCACTCTGCAGCTCCTGAAAGGTGCCTGTGCTCAGCTGGGGCTGGGCTCTTTCTCTTTCTCTGACACAACCAGAGCACACAGCCTCGAGCTGTGCCAAGGGAAATCCAGGTTGGAGAGCAGGGAAAAGCTTTTTACAGAAAAAGTTCTGGAATGGCTACCCAGGGAGGTGGTGGAGTCCCCATCCCTGGGTGTGTTTAACAAAGCCTGGATGTGGCTCTGGGTGCCAGGGTTTGTTGAGGGGTTGGGGCTGGGTTGGACTCGATGGTCTTGGAGGTCTCTTCCACCCTGGTCATTCTGGGAATTCTGTCTGAATTCTGTCCCTGCACTCTGCTCCTTAATTCCACTTGTCACTGCCCACACTGTCACCTCCTTTTTATTCATTTCCCAGCTGTATTTCCCTCTCTCTTTCCCTGTTGGTTGAGGTACTTGAGAGGCACAGAGTCCCTGAATCACCTAATACAGACCCCCTGCTTCCAAGGTGCATTCCCCCCTCTCTTCTTTTTCTTTGTGTCTCTGTTCTTTTTCTCCAAATCCAGGAATTTAGCACAGCCTTGGGTGAGTCTGTGTCAATTAATGGAATTCCTATGAAATTGATGGGATTTTTGGTTATTCCTACTGTTTTTTTAAAAATATCAATATCTGGGTTTATCTGCAGATTTCCCCCCTCCCTTCTTTTTCTTTGTCTCTGCTCTTTTTCTCCAAACCCAGGAATTCAGCACAGCCTGGGGTGAGTCTGTGTCAATTAATGGAATTCTTATGGAACTGATGGAATTTATGGTTACTCCTATTGCTTTTTTCAGATATCAGTATCTGGGTTTATCTACCTGCAGGCATTCCCCCCCCCCCCCCCCTTCTTTTTCTTTGTGTCTCTGCTCTTTTTCTCCAAATCCAGGGATTTAGCACGACCTTGGGTGAGCAACAGTCTGTGTCAATTAGTGGAATTCCTATGGAATTTATGGTTACTCCTATTGCTTTTTACTAATTTTTTTTTTCAAATATCAATATCTGGGTTTATCTACCTGCAGCCCCACAGTTTGTTTGTGAAGCCACCTCTCTCTCCTTTCTTTCATTAGTACAGATCAGCTCTGAATCCTAACTGCTCATCCTAATCATTGGATGGCAGAATAATTAATCATTTCCACGAAGAAACTGCCTTTTAACTCTGCAGAAATGGGACTCTAGCCTGGGTTTTGTCTGTGTTTCTGCTCTCCTCATCTGCATCACGTCCCGTGCAGGGATGTGCGGAGCCCCAGCACCACCTGCCGGCCCCGCGTCCGTCCGTCCGTCCGTCCGTCCGTCCGTCCGTCCGTCTGTCCGTCCGTCCGTCCCGCCGCACCCACGGCCCGGCCGAGCGCGGATCCTCCCCGGGGCCGCGAGAGCGCCGGGACAGGGGGGACACTGCGAGCCTGAGGTCCCTTGGCTGCCACCCCCACCTTCAGAGAGGAAAATTCAGGGTACTTGCCATTGAAAGAGGAGTTTCCTCTGATCCATTGACCAGGGTCGCCCATAGAAACCTGGAAAAGAGAGGGAAAAAAAGGCAAAATGCAGTGAGAGGCTGAATGAGAGATGTGGGACTCCAGGGGCTCTCCAAAATGCAGTTTATTGTACCCAAGGTGTCACAGCAGTCCAGGGTGGTGGGTGACAGAGCCTGTGCCTACAGCTGTCAGCTCCAGCTGCAGGCAGGCCTGGAGACCCTGAGTTTAGGTTACAATGCATTATAGACTTTGCTTTTGGTCACAATATATTATATTTTTTTGTTGTTGTTACAATGCATTATATACTTTTCTTTTGGTTACATTGCATTATATACTTTTCTTTTGGTCACAATGCATTGTATCCTTTTCTTTGCTGAGCATCTTCATCCAGTAGAAGCAATCTGTACCTTAACTTTTATCTCTAGCCCATCATAACTACTGTAATTACCATATTCACGTTACTGTTCTCCAGTCACTATAAGTCAGTACATTACAGTTAAAGCCAGAAGTTGTTTTTCAGTTTTCTTGCAGTGGAAAATTCTGAGACCTTTTTTCTACTTGCAACATTTGCTGCCTTGTTTGCCTGTGCTCTCTTTCTGCTTGCTAAAAACATCTCCTTGTTTGGGGTGGGTTTATCCTTTAAGTCATAAAAACCCCTTGTAACTCACACACCCTTTGCCTCCTTGGTTATCCAGTGAGACTGGCTCAGCAATTCTTTTCTTCTGTATCAAAACTTGCTTCCATCTCTATTCCTTCATCAGACTCTACATTTAAAAATCTTTCTGCCAAGCACACACATATCTGTGAGACTTTCTTGTCAAACTTTCACCCTTCCCAACAATGCAGTTGTTGGAAAGTGCCTCAGAACAGCCTCTCTGGGCTATCCCTGCAGGCAGAGCTGCACTGCCAGACATGCAGCACCCATTCAGCCTTTGGGATCACTTCCAGGGAAGGGCCCTTCCTATTTCTGCATGTAGGGAGATCTGGGAGGTGCAGAGCTGTCTGCAAAGCCAGGGAGAAAGGGTATCCAGAGGAACACAAACCCCTTCCCCTGGGCCAGGCTGATAAATGGGTTTGGAGAAATGCAGATTTGACAGCTCCTCAAAGTGGAGGTTAAAGGGAACCTGTCAGAGCCCCAGCACAGACCTGAGATTTAGCAAGAGAAGAACCTTCAGCCACTTAAATTCTCTTCAAGATCTGGCAGATGCAAGGTGAAGTCTCACAGAAAATCCATTATGTCTTGGACAGTGATGAGAATTGGCCATCAAGGTATCTCCCTGCTTTCTCTCTGCATTGTGGGCAACTTTTGAGTCAATCCCTGCAATTTCCAGCAGTCAGGGCCAAGGGCAGCAGATACTGGGAAGTGACAGCATTCCCAAAAGTGGGTGGTGCAGGCTGCACTGACTCCATCAAGCTGGGAGGAAGGACCAGCTCTCCATGAGGCCAGTGTCACCTGCATTTCCCAAAGCCCCTGAGTGTCCCAGAGCTCACCTGCCCTCATTCCCTTGGCTCCCTTGGGCAGGAGCCCACCCTGCAGCCCCCAGCACCAGCCCTGGGCAGTGCTGAGGGGGTTTGCACCACAGCAACACCCACCCTCCATCTGTCCTCTCTCTGCTGACACATTTTCTACCTGCCTGAACGCCTACATGGTTATTCCATATATTTTGAAACAATATAAGGTCACTTTGCTATCCATCCCCTACCACGCACGGGGACAAATTTGTGGCCACTCGAGAATCCCAGCAAACATTTCACCCCCAAAAAAAGCTATTTCTGTGGTAAATAATTTGCTATTTTGAGATCCCAGCGAGGTCCCCAGAGTCCCTGCATGGCCCCTGCAAGTGACACTCCCACAGCACGTGCTGCTGTGAGCTGACGTGGGCTGCCAAGGAGGCCACTCAGCAGTGTTCTCCTGGAATGCATTTGCCAGCATCATCCCTGTCCTCCTTCCCAGGTCAGCTCTACTACATCAGTGATTCACGTCTGAATCATGTCAGCCTCCCCACCTCTGCATTTCCTGTTTGTTTTACATCCATTTGCACGGTGCTCCTGCTCCCTCTCAGGTGGGGCCGAGGGCCGTGCCCCTGCCGGGGGTGATGAGCTGCCAGCAGGAGGGCAGAGGGTTCTGCCGGCTCCAGAGGGAGCTGGGGATGCGCGGAGGGAGCAGCACAGAGCTCTCCCTGACCAGCTCTGTGCACAGGTCCTACATGGCTGCCCCGTGGGCAGGGTGGGCACATCGGGAAGTGCCCCTGAGTCCAGGGCAGCCAAGAGCCCCGTGTGGAGCTCTGGAGGCCGAGCAGAGGCTCCCTGAGCCCCTCTGGCTCTGCTGGGGTGGCTGCAGGGCTCTCTGGGGAGGTGCTGCTCCAGCCCCCTGGCTCAGATGGGGGTCGGTGCAAGGGCCCCACTCCTACCTCCCCCCCATCCTGGGGCCCTTCCTGACCCCGGTTCCCTTGGGGTGGGTCGGAACAGCCCCGAAACGCCCGGGCGGGTCGGGCAGCGGCCCCGGACGGACAGACCTACCTTCCACCACGCCGCAGAGGAAGCGCGGCCGCTCCGCCATCCCCGCGCAGGAGCGGCCCCGGCGGCCGGGGATGGGCGCGGGGTGCGCGGGGGGACCGAGGAGGGATGGAGGAGGGATGGAGGAGGGATGGAGGAGGGATGCAGGAGGGATGGAGGAGGGATGCAGGAGGGATGGAGGAGGGATGGAGGAGGGATGGAGGAGTGCGCGGAGAGTGGAGGAGTGCGCGGAGAGATGCGCGGAGGGACGGAGGAGTGCTTGGGAGGATGGCTGGAGGGGGAGCGGGGGTTGAAGGCGTGCGCGGAGGGATGCGCGGGAGGGGATGGCAGGTGCGCAGGAGGGCGGGAGGATGCGCGGAGGGCTGGAATGTTTGCTGGGGGATGCAGGGCTCGCGGGAGGGGACGGGAGGATGCTCGCAGAGCTTCGCGCAGGGGCGGCTCCACCGCCCGCCCCCCCGCGGGACGCGCTCGCCGCAGCGCAGGGGGCGGCTCCGCGGGTGGGGCCATGGGGCGGAGCGGGGGGGGATCCCCAAAACGCCTGCGGAGCCCCTGGGAAGCGATGCTTGAGCCGCAGTCTCGGAGCCCGCGGAGCGGAGCCCCCGGCGGGCCCGGTTACCGGACCCCGCCCGGTGCCCACGGCAGCCCCGGTCCCCCGTCCCCAACCGCGGGGCTCCTCCCGGTGCAACGCTGCCTTCTCCCGCCTTTGAAGCTCCCCGGGAGCCCGCAGCCCCGGAGCTATCCCCGAGGGGTGGATGCCATCATCTCCCGGTGCTCACCCCCGAGCTGGCACCTGCCCGGGCACAGCCTCATGCCAGGCCGAGGGTGTGATGCCAGGTGCAGGTGCCAGGCAGGGACTCACCTGTGCCAGGCTGTTTGCCTTGTGGCCCCGGCTCTGAGCTCCTCTGGCTCGTGGTTGTGGCTGTCCCACGGGCAGATGTGCTGCCACTCGCGAGCTCCCTGTAGAGCCCAGCCTACACAGGGTCGAGCAGTCTGACACCACCACGTCATTTTGTTCCGTTTCAGACCACTGAGATCAGTTTCAGGCCACTGATGTCGTTATTTTGCCCGGGTTTGTGGTTTGATCTTTCATGTGTCTTGTACACTCTGTTGTTGGTATTGCTGTGGTTACATCCCATTGCTGTTTCTAGCACATTGTTCTCATCTCAGCCTGGGTGATCTTTAATTTTCGTGCCTCCAATTCTCCTCTCCGTCCTGCCCTCGGGGGAGGGTGGGGCTGTGAGCAATCGGTCTGGGATGTTTCAATGTGAGCGCTTAATTGGGGAATGTCATTCCTAAACCAGGGCACCAGCACAATTTTGTTACCATGCAAATGTGAGGGGTGAAGCCAGGACAGTGCTGAGGGTCACCCCTGCATCCATCCAGGCACTGCAAAGCTGCCCTCAGCTTCTCTCCACACCTGCAGCCATTCCATCAAAACCACAGCTGGAGAAATGGGCATCAGAGCCTGGAAAACCGGGATCTGTGGCTTCTGCCTCCTCCCTTTGCAGGTTTATGTTGTGTCAAGAAATCAAGTCGTGGTGCCTGGGCCATCAAAGCAGCAAGAAGCCCAAGAGTGACCAGCAGTGAGCTGGCAGGGTCCCAGTGCCACCAGAGTGCCAGCAGTGTGCCACCAGGCTGGCTCATCCATGCTGGGTGTGCTGAGCACAAGGTTGGTCCTTGTTCTTTGCCTCAGAGGCTCACCTGGCCCACCTGCAGCTGGGAATGCTGGACTCAAGCCTGGCCCTGCAGGAGGCTTCTGGGGCAGGCTGGAGTGGGCAGCAGTGACAGGGACAGTCCTGGGAGCAGCCCAGTGCCCCTGGAGGGACATGGCATGAGACATGGATGGCGTTAATCTGTCCTCAAACACAGTCAGAGAATGACATCCTGCAGGCCTGTGCATACACAGGGGATTGTGCTGTGATTTGCTGTGTTTGCTGTGATTCTCTGCCTTTTCAGCTCTCTCTGTGAGCACCTGGCTGTTCCACAATTTTCCTGGACTATGAGCTAGAGGTAAGCAGCCTCTAGTCCTCCATTTTCTCTCCTGTCAAAGACATCACTTCTTTTTCCTGTCCTGTGAAACATCACCTATCCCCTTGTCCACTCCCCATATTGACCTCTCTGAAAAATGCATATTTTATGATTGGCTTTTCACAAATATGAAAATGAATATTATATGTGTTATGTTAGAAAGTTATGCTGTGTTAATTTTCTTAAGTAGTGTGTTAAATATAGTTTTAGGCCATAACATAATGTTAAAATAGAAACTATGCTATTAAGATGCTTTTTTTAAAAGAGAGGACTCGCAGCGAGATAGCAGCCACAGGACACCTGAATCTTTCAGAGAAAAAGAATTTATTGCTCCATTATCAGAAGAAACGAACTCATTCAACCCTGAAGAGCCGTCAGGATTAATAGGAAGAAATTGACACTGATCAGACAGAATCCTTTGTTTGAATGGAATTTATGCATCATGTATGAGGTATATGAATATGCAACAGGCTGTTGTTTTTAAGGGTTAATCCTCTGTTAACGTGGGTCCTTTTCCGGGCCTATTTTGCTCAGAAAGAGGTACCCGGACTGTCTGTAACTCTTTGTTTTTATTGTCTCATATTGTCCTAATCCAAACTGTCCAAATTTTTACTACCCTAATTATATTACTATTTTTACAACCATTTTATTACTGTTAAACTTTTAAAAATCCAAAACCAAGCGATGGGCGTTTTTCACACCTCGCTTACCCTCAGCCCACCCGAGCGCGTTTTCCCGTCCCCATGGAGAGCGCACGCCGGTGTCACACGCGCGTGCACGAGCCCAGCTGTGCACACATCTGTTCACGTGCACGCGCACACGCGCGAGCACGCCTCGCCCCTGACACGCGCGTCCCCGTCCTGATCCCCGCCCCGGTCCCGTCCCGGTCCCATCCCAGTCTTGGTCCCCGCCCGGTCCCCGCCCCATCCGCGCCCTGTCCCGGTCCCGGTCCCCGCCCCCGTCCCCGTCCTGGTCCCCGTCCCCGTCCCCATCCCGGTCCCCGCCCCGTTCCCGCCCCATTCCCGCCCGGTCCCCGCCCCGGTGCCCGCCCCGGCCCCTCCTCGGTCCCCGCCCGGTCCCCGCCCCATCCCCGCCCCGTTCCCGCCTCATTCCCCGTCCTGGTCCCCTCCCGGTCCCGTCCCGGTCCCCGCCCCAGCGGCGCGGGCGGAAGCGCGCGGGGATGGAGCCGCCGGCCATGGAGGGGCCGCTGCTGGTGCAGCAGAGCCACAAGTTCGGCACCAAGGTGAGTCCGGGGATCCCTTCCTCCCTGTCCCTGTCCCTCTCCCTCCCCTCCTTCCCTCCCTCCCTCTCTCCCTCCCAGCCCTCGGGCCGGCTGCGCGCCGGGGCGGGGGCGCTCCCGGTGCCGCTCCCGGTGCCGCTCCCGGTGCCGCTCCCGGTGCGCGCTGTGACCCCGCTGCCCGCAGCGCTGGAAGCGCGGCTGGTCCGCGCTCTACCCCGCCAGCCAGCACGGCGTGGCCCGGCTCGAGGTGTTCGACTGCAAGGAGCCGTCGGCGGCCGGGCGGGCGGGCACCCGGCGGCTCGCCCGCACCGTGGTGCGGCTCAGCGACTGCACCAGCGTGGCCCCGGTGGGCGAGGGCGGCCCCCGCGCCGGCACCGCCACTTTCCGCCTGGAGACCCGCGAGCGCAGCTTCCTCTTCGCGGCCGAGAAGCAGCAGAGCGAGGAGTGGGTGGCGAAGCTGTGCCAGATCGCCTTCCCGGTGAGCCCGGGCTGGGGGCGGAGGGGACAGGACGGGACAAGGGCGTCAGCGTGGGGGGGTGACCCCTTCCCACCTGGCGGCTCGGGGAGGACACCCTGAGGTTGAAACCAGCCGGCCCTGGCGCTCCGGTGCCCTCTCGATGGCTCCCGCTGTGGTTTGTGGGACTCCTCAGCGTGCTGTCAATAATTCGAGGTTGTGGCTCCAAATTTCGAGTCGGGCTCTTCTTGCCCTGTGAGGAGCCCGTGCTCGCCCCTGCAGAGGGCTGGCAGGAGGCCAAGCTGATGGCCAGGAGCGTTTCCTCTTGGCCCAACCATTGCTGCCTTTCCTGCCACAGCAGCAGCGGAGGAAGCGCAGCCTCGAGAGCCTTGTGGGACCTGTCTGCTTCCAGGAGCTGGAACCCCCTTTCCCAGCCTCGGGGCTCACTCCTGGCTGCTGCTGTGGGCACCCAGCTCTGGAGCACTGCCCAGCCCCATCCTCTGCAGCCCCTGGAGCTGCTGGTCCTGGGGAGCCCTGTGGGACCTGTCTGCTTCCAGGAGCTTTCCCAGCCTCGGGGCTCACTCCTGGCTGCTGCTGTGGGCACCCCATGTGTGCTGGGGCTCTGGAGCACTGCCCAGCCCCATCCTCTGCAGCCCCTGGAGCTGCTGGTCCTCAAGAGCCTTGTGGGACCTGTCTGCTTCCAGGAGCTGGAACCCCCTTTCCCAGTCTTGGGGCTCACTCCTGGCTGCTGCTGTGGGCACCCAGCTCTGGAGCACTGCCCAGCCCCATCCTGTGCAGCCCCTGGAGCTGGTCAGCCAGTGTGCCCAGCCAAGGCTCTTTGGGCACTGGGTGCCCTGGCAGTGAGGTTTTCTGTGCCCTCTGGGACACAGCCCATGCCTGCCCAGCTCCTCGGCGCTGCCTCTCCCTCCTGGGAGGGGTTTGCAGAGCCCTGGGTTGGGCTCCAGCTGATTCCAGCCTTGGAGTGTTGGGCAGGGCTGCCTGGCAGGAGGACTGGGTGCACAGCTGGTGATGCCAGGATGGCCCCTGAGTGTGATTTACCTTTGTCCCTCCCTGCAGTCTCCTGGTGCAGTCATGGTGGGAATGTCTCTGTGTCTCCTGGCGCAGTCAGGGTTGCAGCCTTTGCCCTGAAAGTGGCTTTTGGGGCTGAGCTGGGCACACAACACACCCTGGGAGTGGGGCAGGGTGGTGGCCAGGCCAGGGAGCAGCTGCTTGGAGCTCCCATCCCCCACATGGGAGCCATCATTCATATGCCTGAGCTCCAGAAGCAAGCTGAAGGTTTAGGAGGATGGGAATAAAAGGTTTCAAGGCTGGCATGTGTTT